GAGAACTGTGAACATAGGACATGTTTCCCAGGAACAAATAACAAGGATCTTGCCATTTCCAATCAGCAAACACTAGTGAATAAAATAACTCACTTTGTTTAAGGGGAAGGAGATATGAAATTTCAGAACATGATGGGAAAATATTATATTGCTCATATGCTGGTGGTGCAATCAGCTGACTGAGGGATAGATAGATGGTGGCAGAGAAGCAAACGAACAAACAGAAAGACATGCCTAGTGTGAAGTTACAGGAAATTTACAATCATAAATTTGTATAGTAGTGTGTGTGTGGTGGAAGGGAGGGAAAACCTAGGAAAAATATGGGGAGAATATTCACCCTTGTCTGTTAATTGTATATACTGTTGAAAGGTATAAAATGACTATCTAAAATAGAAAATGTCTCATATCACTATAAAGGAAAGACCCACTTTTGTTGCACCCTCCCTTTCTGATGTCCTGGTTCCACCAGTAAAATTGAGTTGTATCATGCAATCAAAAATGAACCTCATCAGCCTTGTGCTTTTATGTTTGTGATGTGCTCCTCATTTCCTATCTGAGATCTAAAAAATTGATTTAGACCTAATGCTTTTCTTATGATATTATTTGCCTGAAAGAATATCCATCAGTGGACACTTAAAAATCTGTGTTATTAGCCAATGTTCTATCAAATTACAGCCAGTGGATAACTGCAGTTGCAATTTTAGTATTCAGTTTGCAAAGTTGAACAAAATAATTAATATAACTGTTCAAAACACTAAAATCAGTTGATCTACAATTTTCTTTTTTCCTGCTCAATTTGCTCTTACCATCATATGGCCAATTTCCATGATATTTCCAAGGCCATTTTTTCTAAACTATCCAATCTGTAAATTTTCTCTTTTAGAGATAAATATGTATGGATTAGTAAAGTAAATTTGTTCACAAAATAGATTTTCTTTTGAATTAAAAATGCCTCCTGTGGGAGTTTTCACGAATAAGACAATTTCACTTTTGATCAAAATTGTTTACTTTATACATGTTAACTTGATAATAATAAGGATAATCATCTTAACTGAAAATTAATTTTTAATTTCCAGAGTCCTTATCACCTACATGATCCTACTAAGGCTATGTATCATTTTAAAAAGTTTTGTTTCTTTTAAAAATATTTAATAGTTGATATTTCTATACACTGTAATGCCTCTGACAAAAGCAGCAAGGGGATCAATACATTAGGATTTTTCCTTGTGCGCTTAGGTAATGTGAAAATAAACATTGTCACATAATAAGCTGGTGATGTCATATCAAAAATACATCAGGGCAAATTTACTCTCTCAAGCAGATGATGTAACAGCAACATTTTTGGGGTGAAAAGTGTGATTTCGCTGCCAAACATTTTCCTTGCCTAAACAGCTATCAAAACCATTTCAACACCTATCTAATCACAACAATAAGTATGATAATCCAGTGCCATGGAACCTTTTTGGATTTTATCAGTAAAGAAATGAAAAAATGCTTTTGTTTAATATATTTTATATTTTTGCCCTCCCCTTTTTCTCATAACTGTGCAAAAATGCCGAATCCATGCACTTACAAATCAAGAACTCCAATAGATATTTGTTAATCAAAAGTCTAAAATCTTTAATCTAAGAGTTACTAATTTTAATTAAGATTCATCTTAAGGATGGAAATTTTAAAACAATAAACTTTACAATATCAATTATTATAAATGGATATAAAATGTAAGTCTTCAAAGGTTAATAATTTCTTTAAATTTGCCAAGTGATTTGCAGTTTCTTATATCAGTAGGTAAAACATATATTGTAAATGCCCATTCACCATAAAATTTGTTAGCTAATACATAAAACATAATTTAATACAAGTGTTATGTATTCCCAACTATCTCTTTTCATATTTGGACTTAGCCCGAGTTTTGTATTAGTTTCAGTTTGTTTAATTGATCTAGACTTAGGTAAAAAAGACACTACATGTATAACAATAATCAAGTGTGGAGGTATTAAAAGCATGTTCTAATTTCTATTTTGTAGTTCTGTCCAGTAAACTGCAAATCTTGCATATTCACAACAGTGAATATGAAGTCGCTTTACAAACATTTGAAATGTGTTTTCAAACAGATTGTATCTATTAAATGTAACACAAAGGTCTTTCATCCAGGATGTCTTTACTTACACTATAACAATAAAAATGCATTTATGCATTCTTGAGACTTACTTACAAAAGAACCCAAAATCAGGGCATATGCCATACCCAGACCTTGAGGATGGTGGATATGGAAGTGGGCAGGACCACAGAGGGTTTAGAAATGCTCCCTGGGTGAATCAACTATAGTAAAAATCTGCTAAGACAGAGCATGCAAAAATATAAGCTACCACAACTTCACTGAAAATAGGTTAAAGATCACTGCCATTCAGTGTTCATGGGATGGCATATTGTTAATAATGTTTTTATATGAATTACAAAATTATATTTAACAAAACTCTCACCATAATCCACTGCCTAACTTAAATTTGCTAAAAAAAGGAGTGCATACAAGTTAAATACCTTTACAATGAGAATTTATATTTTAAAAAAATGTTAGCATACCCAAGCAATTTTTTTTTCAAAAATTTGGAACATCAAATCAAATCAAAAAAAGAAAAAATGAACAACTTACCTAAACTAGCATTGCTCATCTATCACTAAAATGACAACAGCAAGCAACTGCTGCCTTGATTAGAAATCCCTATTGATTTAGTCGAATATAGGCTTCACTCGAGCCCTTCATACTGCCATGGCAACCTGCTAAATCATCTTCAAGTATTCTAGCAATACTAGAGGACATATTGCATCTTTTCCTGGCAACAGTTGACATGTAGGATATCAATTAAAGAACAAAAGTTGAAAAGATCAATCAATATTCAATATGGAATCCAACACATTCTTCAATAGAATAGGTGCATTTCCCAGTGCCACGTGCACTACTGATGACAATAACCAATATTTGTTGTAAAAGATTAATTCAATCTGTTTAATACATTTTCACATTTAGGATACCGTATCTGTTGAGATCAATCATGAAATTGTTCCTACCAACAAAGGAGATAAATTACAGCATATACTTCATCTACAAACAGGTGGGAGACTAATCAATTACTACTGTCTCAAAATACTCCAAGATTACAAAAGGTGGTGAAAGCAGTAATTGCACAATAAAGATGGGTGTCAATATCACTCATCTGAGTCTCTATTTCATATAAAATAATTTTAAAAGCATAAAAAGGTTTGAGTTCTGTTTTAATTTTTCAACAAATATTCAGAAGGTTTAGTAGGGATCTTCTTACCTCAGAATCTTTGGAATATTTGTAACTGAAGTATTTAAATCATCATTTGCCTATAAATGACAAACGCCTGTTCCACTTCACATTGCATTCAGTACAAGCTATATATCTGTTGATATTTTACTTGTTAGACTACAATCCGTGCAAAACTTAGTGAAGAGTTCAATCAGGGATGCATATTACGAGTTTTCTATTTTGCTAAAAAAATCTTACAATGCTGTTACCTGTGACTTTCAAGACCTTGACAATTTTGAGGTCAAAGCATGCAAATATGTGAATATTTTTGTCTACCATATTTCACCAATTCATTTCTACAAACTACTTGTAACGAGGGAGAGTTTTATATCCATCTCATTTTCTGTAAATTACATTAGATAGATGATCTCAAACCCACAGCGTTATGTAAAAGATATGGGAAACATATCTATTAAATATCAAAGGAATATTTGTTTATTTGTTTTTTTTTAATATAATTTTTTTGATAGTCAACCAGCACTCAATTACAAGTGTTCATTTTTCATGCTCAGGATGGATTCCAACAGAAAAATTTTCATTTTTGATAACAGGAAGAGATCCAAGTTGCACCCCCTCCTCTATCAAGTCATATAATCCTTCTGCAATCTCCAAGTTATGCAGCATAGATTCAGAGAAGGGGGACTGCAACTTGACCTATCCCTTTTTTTTTTTGTAAATAAACCACCCTTTCAAAAAATAAAAAAATAAATAAATACCCACAGGTCTGGCACCTTTTCTTCAGAGATGAAACATCTAAATGAACTTTATCATACAAGGCAGCAAAGTTGTCAAATGTACAAACAGAGCAGAACATTCATGTAACCATGACAGTTCACAAAGTTGGGCTTTTGTAATTTCAAGTAACACAGGGTTTCATCCCCATGGGAGTTCAGAGCCACACTTTGAAAATGCCAATTTGTGAAAAATGAAAATGTTGGGTCCTAAACATCACCCCTGGCCAGTAAGTTTTAGAATAATAAGTCATGGTTAATCATTGATTGTGTTTATGGTGAAAAATGCAGTGCCAGACAATGACAACACACAGGAGGTGGCTATATATAAAGACACGTTAAGTCTGTACATAAAATGCAACAAAGATTCAGACAGATATTGACCACTCGAGGAAAATTGCTTTTAAGTATTTATAAATAGTAACAGTACTACAGATCTGTCTTAAAAATAGAAATGTTGAATACCCAGATCCCTTAATGCAAATCTGTTGACTATTCAGCTTATTTCATGAAAAAGCCATTAGACATCTATAGCTTGTTGTAGTGATAAAAGCTAATCTTTGGGAGAAAAAAAAAGAAAGAAAACTTGAGATGTCTAGCATTTAGATGGTCAAAATTCAATTTTGAAAATCCATAATGCTGCCTCTACAGCCCATGCTTGATGGCTTTACAAACAGTCATTAGCTGGTTATAGACTGCAAGGGTGATAAAGACAAAGCTGCAGGGAAATACATTAATTGATTTGGTCTCATAAAAGCCAAAGCCAGATGGACTTCATATCACCCTTGTACCAGTCAAGTTCATTATGACCAGAGGGTGTCTGCTCTCTTCTATGCCTATTCTAGTACCATGAAGCCAATAAAAACCATTGTAAATTTTTTCACTTAAGTGCCTTTTCAAAGGAAAATTATGCAATTGATGATGAACTTAAAACCTCAAAAACATTCTTACATCAAACAATTCAGTGACAATTTATTATAAAACAAACACAAGAAGACATGTTCTGAGACAATAACTAAACAAGATCAGGGTTCTAAGAACCAAAAAAAAATACCAAATACAATCCAGAAGCCTGCCTTATTGCATTAGTTGAGACATCCTTCTAACATCTAACATTTGTTTTCTAGTATTCTAGATTGTCAAATCATTTAGATAATATGCATAATGTTTTCTAAAAATTTGTCTCAGGAAGAGATCAATGCCAGTTTTAGTTGCATAATTTTCCTATAGATGAAAATTCAGTGGTTTTTATACTGTCAAGTTTGTGCCAGGCATCCTTGAAAACTGTCTTGATATTATTTTTTAATAATATTTTCAAACTTCAATAAACTTGCAGCTACTCAAGTCCATAAGTACTTAATACTGCATGAAATAACATCATACATTAAGGGCAAACAAATCAACTGGTCTTTTTAAATATTTGTTCCATTGACTTCTCCAAACATGACATTTTTTCACCTAAGAGTCCATTAGTTCCCCAACTATAGCAACTCAAGGATAATTCCTCTTCGATCACAAAAAAGAAGCCCTTGTAATGCAGAAAGACTGATGGAATTATTATGTCTCAAAATTTTACTCCTAAAATACCATGATTCAATAGCTGAATACTTTGGTGTATTGTAAATGCCATTGTCACAGTGCAGTCTCTTTGAATTCTTCTGTCTGTTGCTTTGCCTCTGATGCTTGCCTTGCCTGTAACATTCTTTTTCGGTGTGCATGTAATATGGACTGGGGATGGATAGGATAAAAACCAGCGATGCCTGGAATAAAAAAAGTGGTCTTTAAAACAAACTATGCAAATGTTGGTGGTTTGGCATCATAAACTTCATGGACAATGAATTCATATTATCTTTGTGGATATCCTTTGATCCACAGTCATTGCCCAGGGCATTAACATGTATTACATGGTTAATTACATGTAGCCAAGTTTTGTAGCATGATATTCTAAGATAAAATGAATTGTGTTTAAGCTACAAAGAAATGGGCAAAGCACTCACCTAACATTTTAACTAATGATTTGGTTGGTTGGGCTTCTCTTAGTATCCATTTTCTGTACTTCTGAAATGACATGGCAAATAATCTTTCTCCAAATTGGTTGATCATTGGATCGTAAGTTCCTATCTGTGATATGATTCTTCCATTTCTAGCTTTGTGTTTTTGTATGACAACAATATGATAGAATGGTCTGTTGACACAGCCATGGAGGGCAAACCTTATTGCCAAAGTCCCTTCCTTTTTCATGATACCTGAAAAAGTAAAAATTCTTTAAAACTTTTAAAATATATCATCAACATTTCTAAAGCTATGCATCATTTCAACTTGAAAAATTTCATCACTGAATACTAGCTATTGTACAAATAAAGAAGCATTTTATGAACGGCTGAATGTTTAAATATGTGAACTAATTGAAACAATTACTGATATTATAATGTTAGTGAAAACAATGTGTAGATTTAAAACTTTAAAACTTTTAAAATATAAATGTCAAAGCCTGAAAGGAAAAAGTCATTTTTGGGAGTAAAAATGAATAAAATGGTTATTACTAGTCATTTCCAGTCATTCCCTGCATATTCTGATCATGATCAGGTTAACCATAGAATGGGGATTACCAGGCAGATATTAACATCACTGCTGCAGTGTGGGACTTGAGGAGGTGAGGTAAGTAAATGATTTGAGAGCCCCTGCATCACAGTGGACATGCTACCTGGTTGTCATTTTACAGTTATGTGGACCTTTATCTTTCCTACATTAGCACGATTAGTACACACTAGTATGATATCAGAATCTGTAAATAGGAGTGTTAATGCATAAAAGTTTGTGCTACTTGTAGTATATCATTTGTATTTGTATTTGCAAGTGCACTTGTATTGGTTCATGCACCAATTCAATATCATGCAAGTCTTTTTATTCCAGTAATGCAGCAGTACTACCACTTCTGCATGCAATTTGTAATTCTTGTCACATTGAAAGTTTTTGACACAAGGTGTTATGATGCCCTGCCTGCATAACATGCAACTTGTTAGCACGAAATTCATGCGTAAGCACTCCTATTAGCAGTTTCTGATATGTACTGGCTGTTCTAAAGCTCCGTCCATGTGAAAACTAGTTGGCTTTACAGGAGTATGCAAATTGAGGAGTTGAGATGTACATGTAAGATAAAATATATGGGAGCTCCCACATCATGGTGGATGCACAAACTGGTTTTCATTTACTCTTTTTGAAGCCTTTGCTCTCATGCTTTAGAACAGCTAGTTCATATAAGAAACCGTTAATAAGGAGCAGCAGATGATAACAGGTGGTGCTAGTTGTATGTTTACACATATTGCCATAAAAAGCCTCCAGCCTCCAGAGTATAAGATTTCTAACCCTTTTTACATTGCATGCTGCTTTGTAACTACTGACTTGGGGACTGACTGTGTAGAAACATGACTAAGAACAGGTGGTACATGTACTACCACATGGGCAATGTTTTGACTTAACTGCACACTTTGGAAGATGCACTGTATCAAATTGTATTTCCTATATTGTATGCACCTGTGGCCCAAAATTCTATCACTTTGCCTACTTCACAAAGACATTTCTCTACTCGGGGGAAAAATCCTAGAATCAAAATTTAAACTGTATGCTCATGCCTGTCTCCTCTATTCTTACCTGGCAAATTTCAAGGTTCAATGACATTATTTAGTGGGTGAAAATCAAGTGGACCAACTTAAGACTCATTTTTGAGAGTGGCTTTTAAAAAATGACAGACATTTTCACCCCATTTCCATAGATTTTTAGATCGATCTATCCCTGTGGGGAGTCTCACTAGATTACTGTCAGCTTGGCCGGCTTAAGTGTCTGTCCCGCCTACTAAAAGCTGTAAGGGGGTATTAACTATGGTGCCCGCTTGGCTGACTGCAATTTAGCGTGAACCCCCAGGGAGTTAGGTCGATCTAAATCTTAATCTCTAGATCAATCTAAATCTCTGGGGAGGAAACCTTTTGTCACTAATACTTGAATGACTTTTGATCAATGCGATACATTGTAGACCAAATATTCTAATGGTTTATTCAAATCAGATATGCAGCTATCAGTGTATTAAATTTCAAGTCTTGGGCTTAATTAGAAAAAATATCATGTGTGGACCCTACCTTAAATATCAGTACTAACCCATGAATTTGGTGCTAGTAATTTGTAACTTGTTAAGCAGAAAATTAAGGTAAGCAAGAAATAAATTAAAAAAAAATTTTTTAATAAATTTTATGGTGGATATACTTTTCCTTTTGCCTTCAGGTGGGCCTGAGATTTTGGTCTTACATGCTACGTGTCAACTGCAGTTAAGTACCTAGCATGTCATATTTATGAACACAAACAATTTCACGAACAAGGCAGAAAACTCGACACAAGTTCTCAGATGTCATTGAAAATTCGGAATTTGAATTGATTAACATGTTTGTTGCAAGGTCTGCTAGGTCTATATGACGTAAACACGACAGGAGACAAAGTGGCTGCAGGTCTCTAAATGGTGCTGCTCTAAAAGAGTAGCGGATGGTGAGCAAACTATAATGTCTTCGCGTCTTCGGTGGTTTCAAGTCTAAGACAGTTTTGCTAAATTTTATGTCTACAGGACCATTCCCACAGATATTTGGATCGCTCTATTACCTGGGGAGTCTCACTTAATTGCTATCAACTTGGCTAGCTTACTATAAATGTCTGTCACGCCTAGTAAAGCTGTTAGGGGGTAATTATCTAACCCTCTGGCTGATTCGGTAGGCGTGACAGACATTTAAGCCGGTTTAGTTCATAGCAATTTAGTGAGACTCCCCAGGGAATTAGACCGATCCAGATGGATCGATCAAGGCATGGGAACCCAGTCTACTATAAATATTAAATGGGTAGAAGTGCATGGGTTCCAGTAAATTTAATTGTAATTTATATCATGGTGCATGGTCAAATTGTCATAACTTGTTTGCACGCTGATCTATTTTCACCGGTGCCCTTTTCTTTGACATTATAAATCATTTAAAAGATTCGCAGATATATGAAAGTGAGAGACAAATCAAAACTACTCACCCCCTGCACATGAGAACGACACGCCGAAGTGCAGTACGTCATCAACTTGCGCGCTGCGTATCACGTGACTCCAAGATGGCGAAAACCTTAGAAGACAAAGCTATTTGGGAAGATGGAGAGGTACTTTTTCTGTATATTTTAAGTAGTTTCGATGAATAGTTTTAAGTCAAATTAAAGAGCATCAGTCAAATTAAAAAACTGATAAGTTATTTACATTTTAGTTATGTCGTTACGCCGAAATTCGTATAATTGTCACTGCCGGCTTCCAAATTTCTCGTGTCATGCCATGGTATTTCTACTAGTATTAGTTACAGTTAGTAACAGTATTTCAGTGTTAATTGAAAAATATCACCGGAGTTAACTGACATTGATATTTTACTTACCGTTCCTGTCATAGCAGTTAATTATTACCGTCTTTTAAAGGTTAAAGTTCATTTATTCATTATAACAGACCTAAAAGGCGAAAGTGATGACATGCAACAATATTTTTTTTATTGTCTGACAACAATAATGACATTTAGACTCACCCTTCAAGAGGTCAACACTTGCATGATCTGGGTGAAAAAAAAGGGAAATACACCTTTTTCCCCCGTTGTTTTCCAAGGCAGCACCTAGCATAAGCGCCCATCTAAATCTAAAAGAGTACGACTTCAGTTTCTAACTCAATTGTCATTTTTAATATTAATTTAATCATTTAGGAATCTCTTGGTGAAGAGGTTATGCGAATGTCCACAGAAGACATTGTCAACAGAACTAGACTACTTGACAATGAGATCAAGGTTTGTGTCAATTATTTACTTGTCTGGACTTTGGACAAAAGACCCCTTACTATATTTGATACTAAATGCTTTTTGTGCTCATGCTATGAGGGATGAGATCATTAAATAAATATTTGTTGTTGAAAATGCCTTTTCTGAATTTGTCCTTTTGTTGAGATTTTGTTTGAGTTTAGCACTTTGATAACTTAACAGCAAATCTTCAGGACAACAACATTGAGTAACGACAAAATTAAAATTGCCTTTAAGATGAATAATTATTCTGTGGACTTACTCAAGGAAGAGGTTTAATGAAATATTGTCAGGGATGAGTTTTTTTTTTTTTTTTTTTTGTCTTTTTTTTTTACTACAGGCGAACTTTTAGACATTTTGGGAGCCGTAAATATCATTGGCCTAGCTGGCCCCTTGGACCCTGCACCATATATAATGACTTTTTCAATAAATGGAAGACTCATCCCTGAATTGTATGTATAATTAAATAGAAGATGCAATGCAGGGAAAACCGAAATGAGAAAACATATAACTATTTTTCGCAACAGATAATGAAGTCAGAGGTCATGAGAATCTCACATGAGCTGCAGGCTATGAAAGAGAAAATAAAAGAAAACACAGAGAAGATAAAGGTCAACAAGACATTGCCATATCTCGTTTCCAATGTTATAGAGGTAGGTTTTTTAGGATGAGTGTAATATTTTTATTTCAACATCGAATTTCAGTGACAATTGAAATAAATTTACAACGTTACAGCATTTTTACTAAATAATGACATGGAAAGTTCCTTATGATAGTGATAATATATTTTACATTTGTGTGTGTATGTGAATACAAGTGTGAGTGTTTTTATATTCCTACATAGTTGACACTGAAACACAGAAACTGATAATTATTTTTGCATGTTTACAGCTCTTAGATGTTGACCCACAAGAACAGGGAGAAGAAGATGGAGCAAATATTGATCTTGACTCACAGAGAAAGGGGAAGTGTGCTGTCATCAAGACATCTACAAGACAGGTATGCAGTGAAAACCGTTTCATGTTTTAATGTGTTTTTATATCAAGTCTTGCGATTTTCACCAGAGAATGATGGTTCTTAATGTATAATTTAAAGTATACAACCTTATGTGTAGCATGGGCAATGTGAAAATGTTGTTTCTTTGTAGATAAGTATTGTTGTTTTGACATTTACTTCCAGACTTACTTTTTGCCAGTGATAGGACTTGTTGAGGCAGAAAAGCTCAAACCAGGAGATCTTGTGGTTAGTATTTTTGCATACTTTTTGACTGTTGATAACAACAATCGAATTAAAAAAAATACTAAGCCCATTATACATACTTTGACATCTTATTTCCTGTCCTTACTTGTATCTGTTTCATCCAGTGGTCCTCAAATAATACCAGTATTTGATTGCACTAATTCTTTTTTTCAGGGTGTGAATAAGGATTCCTACCTTATCCTTGAGACACTGCCCCAAGAGTAAGTAGATGTTTTTTATCACAACAATTGACATATTTAATCCGTTTCAGAACAATTCACTATCAAGAGGTCAAGACGAATGTAAAAATTTTTGCTGGAAAAGGGATTCTTTATAAAGAGATTCCAAATGGTCTTACAATTCATTGTTTAATAAACAGTTTCCTTTAATTTAGGTTTGATTCTCGTGTGAAGGCAATGGAAGTGGATGAGAGGCCGACAGAGCAGTATAGTGATGTTGGAGGATTAGATAAACAAATTCAAGAGGTAAGATGTTTGCAAAATAACTGCTTTTTTTTTTTACAAAACATGTTTTTTAAATATATTTTTTAGTTTTTCAAAATGAGATGCTTTTTTCAAAATGAGATCTCAAGGAAATGAAAAGTAATCTGCTACTGATGTTTGTTCTAGTTGATAGAAGCTGTTGTTCTGCCAATGACTCACAAAGACCGCTTTACTGCTTTAGGAATACAGCCACCTAAAGGTATGTAGTACTCTGCAAATTTGCCTTGTTTTGGTAAATTATTTTACATGGTTTTGCACTATAAAGTATGTGTTATGCATGTTTTGGAAGTTGTATTACCTATTCATGAATTCATATAGTTTATTATTAGTATTTATTTTTTATTTAAGCTCATTTATTTATTTATTTTTATCTTATTTATTTATTTATTTATTTTTAGTGTGATAAATTGTGTTTGCTTGTATGTTTTGCAGGAGTATTGTTGTATGGCCCCCCTGGTACAGGCAAAACCTTGCTAGCCAGAGCTTGTGCTGCACAGACTAAGTCCACTTTCCTAAAGTTGGCTGGACCACAGCTTGTCCAGATGTTCATTGGTGATGGAGCCAAACTTGTAAGAGATGCATTTGCTCTGGCCAAAGAGAAAACTCCTGCTATTATTTTTATTGATGAGTTAGATGCCATTGGTAAGGAAACATTTAGTTTTAGTTTTTTGACAGCATCTCTTTTAGTAAATTAAACCAATAACCAGTAACTGTAATAAGCCTCTATAAAAGTAATGAAGACTGGATATTATGTTTTAAAACAGAGGTCACAATATTTCCCTCTTATCAGAAGGCCTTCAGGTGAACCGNTTAAAATATATCATCAACATTTCTAAAGCTATGCATCATTTCAACTTGAAAAATTTCATCACTGAATACTAGCTATTGTACAAATAAAGAAGCATTTTATAAACAGCTGAATGTTTAAATATGTGAACTAATTGAAACAATTACTGATATTATAATGTTAGTGAAAACAATGTGTAGATTTAAAACTTTAAAACTTTTAAAATATAAATGTCAAAGCCTGAAAGAAAAAAGTCATTTTTGGGAGTAAAAATGAATAAAATGGTTATTACTAGTCATTTCCAGTCATTATGGTTATTACTAGTCATTTCCAGTCATTCCCTGCATATTCTGATGATGATCAGGTTAACCATAGAATGGGGATTACCAGGCAGATATTAACATCACTGCTGCAGTGTAGGACTTGAGGAGGTGAGGTAAGTAAATGATTTGAGAGCCCCTGCATCACAGTGGACATGCTACCTGGTTGTCATTTTACAGTTATGTGGACCTTTATCTTTCCTACATTAGCACGATTAGTACACACTAGTATGATATCAGAATCTGTAAATAGGAGTGTTAATGCATAAAAGTTTGTGCTACTTGTAGCATATCATTTGTATTTGTATTTGCAAGTGCACTTGTATTGGTTCATGCACCAATTCAATATCATGCAAGTCTTTTTATTCCAGTTATGCAGCAGTACTACCACTTCTGCATGCAATTTGTAATTGTTGTCACATTGAAAGTTTTTGACACAAGGTGTTATGATGCCCTGCCTGCATAACATGCAACTTGTTAGCACGAAATTCATGCGTTAGCACTCCTATTAGCAGTTTCTGATATGTACTGGCTGTTCTAAAGCTCCGTCCATGTGAAAACTAGTTGACTTTACAGGAGTATGCAAATTGAGGAGATGAGAGGTACCTGTAAGATAAAATATATGGGAGCTCCCACATCATGGTGGATGCGCAAACTGGTTTTCATTTTACTCTTTTTGAAGCCTTTGCTTTCATGCGTTAGAACAGCTAGTACATATCAGAAACCATTAATAAGGAGCAGTGCAGATGATAACAGGTGGTGCTAGTTGTATGTTTACGCATATTGCCATAAAAAGTGTCACCAGCCTCCAGAGTATAAGGCTTCATTCACATGGAATGTCTATTTTCTAAAAATCTATTTTCTATTTGCGGTATCTTATGATCATGGTCTGTGCCCTGAATATCCCGCGGCATAATTACTGGCAGCGCTTACAGTAACTTAAAGTAACTGGCTTGCGCTGATAGTAATTACGCCGCGAGATATTCAGGGCACAGACCGTGATCCCAAGATATACCGGGAATAGAAAATAGATTTTTAGAAAATAGACTTTCCATGTGAACGAAGCCTAAGATTTCTAGCCCTTTTTACATTGCATGCTGCTTTGTAACTACTGACTTGGGGACTGACTGTGTAGAAACATGACTAAGAACAGGTGGTACATGTACTACCACATGGGCAATGTTTTGACTTAACTGCACACTTTGGAAGATGCACTGTATCAAATTGTATTTCCTATATTGTATGCACCTGTGGCCCAAAATTCTATCACTTTGCCTAATTCACAAAGACATTTCTCTACTCAGAAAAATCCTAGAATCAAAGTTTAAACTGTATGTTCATGCCTGTCTCCTCTATTCTTACCTGGCAAATTTCAAGGTTCAATGACATTATTTAGTGGGTGAAAATCAAGTGGACCAACTTAAGACTCATTTTTGAAAGTGGCTTTTAAAAAATGACAGACATTTTGTCACTAATACTTGAATGACTTTTGATCAATGCGATACATTGTAGACCAAATATTCTAATGGTTTATTCAAATCAAATATGCAGCTATCTGTGTATTAAATTTCAAGTCTTGGGCTTAATTAGAAAAAATATCATGTGTGGACCCTACCTTAAATACCATGAATATGGTGCTAGTAATTTGTAACTTATTAGGCAGAAAATTAAGGTAAGCAAGAAATAAATTAAAAAAAATTTTTTAAAATACATTTTATGGTGGATATACTTTTCCTTTTGCCTTCAGGTGGGCCACTAGATTTTGGTCTTACATGCTACGTGTCAACTGCAGTTAAGTACCTAGCATGTCATATTTATGAACACACAATTTTACGAAAAAGGCAGAAAACTCGACGCAAGTTCTCAGATGTCATTGAAAATTCGGAATTTGAATTGTTTAACATGTTTGTTGCAAGGTCTGCTAGGTCTATATGACGTAAACACGAGAGGAGACAAAGTGGCTGCGGGTCTTTAAATGGTGCTGCTAAAAGAGTAGGCAGATGGTGAGCAAACTATAGGTCCAATTTAATGTCTTCGCATCTTCGGTGGTTCCAAGTCTAAAACAGTTTTGCTAAATTTTATGTCTACAGGACCATTCCCACAGATATTTGGATCGATCTATCTCCCTGGGGAGTCTCACTTAATTGCTATCAACTTGGCCAGCTTACTATAAATGTCTGTCACGCCTAGTAAAGCTGTTAGGGGGTAATTATCTAACCCTCTAGCTGATTCGATAGGCGTGACAGACATTTAAGCCGGTTTAGTTGATAGCAATTTAGTGAGACTCCCCAGGGAATTAGACCGATCCAGATGGATCGATCAAGGCATGGGAACCCAGCGTTTTATAAAAGTAGAACATCACAAAATTGGGAGGACTTCAGACAAATGCGAAACAAATGTGCAAAACTCCGGAGGAACAGTATTAAAAACTATTTTATGGAGAGATGTACAGGAGGTGCAAAAAACCCAAATTTCTGGAAAACAATTAAACCGTTTGTGAGCAAAAAATCAAACTCTGGCNTATTGTATTGTAGCGTACTATAAATATTAAATGGGTAGAAGTGCATGGGTTCCAGTAAATTAAATTGTAATTTATATCATGGTGCATGGTCAAATTGTCATAACTTGTTTGCATGCTGATCTATTTTCACCGGTGCCTTTTTCTTTGACATTATAAATCATTTAAAAGATTCGCAGATATATGAAAGTGAGAGACAAATCAAAGCTACTCACCCCCTGCACATGAGAACGACACGCCGAAGTGCAGTACGTCATCAACTTGCGCGCTGCGTATCACGTGACTCCAAGATGGCGAAAACCTTAGAAGACAAAGCTATTTGGGAAGATGGAGAGGTACTTTTTCTGTATATTTTAAGTAGTTTCAATGAATAGTTTTAAGTCAAATTAAAGAGCATCAGTCAAATTAAAAAACTGGTAAGTTATTTACATTTTAGTTATGTCGTTACGCCGAAATTCGTATAATTGTCACTGCCGGCTTCAAATTTCTCGTATCATGCCATGGTATTTCTACTAGTATTAGTAACAGTATTTCAGTGTTAATTGAAAAATATCACCGGAGTTATCTGACATTGATATTTTACTTACTGTTCCTGTCATAGCAGTTAATTATTACCGTCTTTTAAAGGTTAAAGTTCATTTATTCACTATAACAGACCTAAAAGGCGAAAATGATGACATGCAACAATATTTTTTGTTTATTGTCTGACAACAATAATGACATTTAGACTCACCCTTCAAGAGATCAACACATGCATGATCTGGGTGAAAAAAAGGGCAATACACCTTTTTCCCCCGTTGTTTTCCAAGGCAGCACCTAGCATAAGTGCCCATCTAAATCTAAAAGAGTACGACTTCAGTTTCTAACTCAATTCTCATTTTTAATGTTAATTTTATCATTTAGGAATCTCTTGGTGAAGAGGTTATGCGAATGTCCACAGAAGACATTGTCAACAGAACTAGACTACTTGACAATGAGATCAAGGTTTGTGTCAATTGTTTACTTGTCTGGACTTTGGACAAAAGACCCCTTACTATATTTGTTACTAAATGCTTTTTGTGCTCATGCTATGAGGGATGAGATCATTAAATAAATATTTGATGTTGAAAATGCCTTTTCTGAATTTGTCCCTTTGTTGAGATTTTGTTTCAGTTTAGCACTTTGATAACTTAACAGCAAATCTTCAGGACTACAACAAAGAGTAACGACAAATTTAAAATTGCCTATAAAATGAATAATTATTCTGTGGACTTACTCAAGGAAGAGGTTTAATGAAATATTGTCGGGGATGAGTTGAGTTTTTTTTTTTTTTTTTTTGACTACAGGCAAACTTTTAGACATTTCGGGAGCCATAAATATCATTGGCCTAGCTGGCCCCTTGGACCCTGCACCATATTTAATGACTTTTTCAATAAATGGAAGACTCATCCCTGAATTGTATGTATAATTAAATATAAGATGCAATGCAGGGAAAACCGAAATGAGAAAACATATAACTATTTTTCGCAACAGATAATGAAGTCAGAGGTCATGAGAATCTCACATGAGCTGCAGGCTATGAAAGAGAAAATAAAAGAAAACACAGAGAAGATAAAGGTCAACAAGACATTACCATATCTCGTTTCCAATGTTATAGAGGTAGGTTTTTTAGGATGAGTGTAATATTTATATTTCAACATCGAATTTCAGTGACAATTGAAATAAATTTACGACATTACAGCATTTTTACTAAATAATGACATGGAAAGTTCCTTATGATAGTGATAATATATTTTACATTTGTGTGTGTATGTGAATACAAGTGTGAGTGTTTTTATATTCCTACATAGTTGATACTGAAACAGAAACTGATAATTATTTTTGCATGTTTACAGCTCTTAGATGTTGACCCACAAGAACAGGGAGAAGAAGATGGAGCAAATATTGATCTTGACTCACAGAGAAAGGGGAAGTGTGCTGTCATCAAGACATCTACAAGACAGGTATGCAGTGAAAACCATTTCATGTTTTAATGTGTTTTTATATCAAGTCTTGAGAATGATGGTTCTTAATGTATAATTTAAAGTATACAACCTTATGTGTAGCATGGGCAATGTGAAAATGTAGTTTCTTTGTAGATAAGTATTGTTGTTTTGACATTTACTTCCAGACTTACTTTTTGCCAGTGATAGGACTTGTTGAGGCAGAAAAGCTCAAACCAGGAGATCTTGTGGTTAGTATTTTTGCATACTTTTTGACTGTTGATAACAACATAATTGAATTAAAAAAAATACTAAGCCCATTATACATACTTTGACATCTTATTTCCTGTCCTTACTTGTATCTGTTTCATCCAGTGGTCCTCTAATAATACCAGTATTTGATCGCACTAATTCTTTTTTTCAGGGTGTGAATAAGGATTCCTACCTTATCCTTGAGACACTGCCCCAAGAGTAAGTAGATGTTTTTATAACAACAGTTGACATATTTAATCCATTTCAGAACAATTCACTATCAAGAGATCAAGACGAATGTAGAAATGTTTGCTAGAAAAGGGATTCTTTATAAAGAGATTGCAAATGGTCTAACAATTAATTGTTTAATAAACAGTTTCCTTTAATTTAGGTTTGATTCTCGTGTGAAGGCAATGGAAGTGGATGAGAGGCCGACAGAGCAGTATAGTGATGTAGGAGGATTAGATAAACAAATTCAAGAGGTAAGATGTTTGCAAAATAACTTTTTTTTTTTTACAAAACATGTTTTTTAAATATATTTTTAAGATATGATTTTAAGTTTTTTGAAATGAGATCTCAAGGAAATAAAAAGTAATCTGCTATTGATGTTTGTTCTAGTTGATAGAAGCTGTTGTTCTGCCAATGACTCACAAAGACCGCTTTACTGCTTTAGGAATACAGCCACCTAAAGGTATGTAGTACTTTGCAAATTTGCCTTGTTTTGGTAAATTATTTTACATGGTTTTGCACTATAAAGTATGTGTTATGCATGTTTTGGAGGTTGTATTACCTATTCATGAATTCATATAGTTTATTATTAGTATTTATTTATTTTTTTTTCATCTCATTTATTTATTTATTTTTATCTTGTTTATTTATTTTTTTTTAATGTGATAAATTGTGTTTGCTTGTATGTTTTGCAGGAGTATTGTTGTATGGCCCCCCTGGTACAGGCAAAACCTTGCTAGCCAGAGCTTGTGCTGCACAGACTAAGTCCACTTTCCTAAAGTTGGCTGGACCACAGCTTGTCCAGATGTTCATTGGTGATGGAGCCAAACTTGTAAGAGATGCATTTGCTCTGGCCAAAGAGAAAACTCCTGCTATTATTTTTATTGATGAGTTAGATGCCATTGGTAAGGAAACATTTAGTTTTAGTTTTTTGACAGCATCTCTTTTACTAAATCAAACCAATAAACAGTAACTGTAATAAGCCTCTATAAAAGTAATGAAGACTGGATATTATGTTTTAAAACAGAGGTCACAACATTTCCCTCTTATCAGAAGGCCTTCAGGTGAACTGATTTTGAGCTGTCACCAGTATTGTGTGGTGACAATGTGCTCTGCGCCAAGTTGTACTATCAGTTTCAATTCCATCTTTATCTTAGTTTAAAACAATTGGATGAATCAAAACTTTCGTTTTAAAGCTTATTGACTTAATGAGGACTTAAGATCAGAAGCTAGATTTCAAATTACTCTTTTTATTTATATTTCACTTTTGAATTTAGGTACCAAGAGATTTGACAGCGAGAAGGCTGGAGACAGAGAGGTACAAAGAACTATGCTGGAACTGCTAAACCAGTTGGATGGTTTTCATCCAACAAGTGAAATAAAGGCAAGATACAACCTACTTTTGTATAAATTACATTTTATTCCATAGTATGCTTGGGGATATTTCTGTGTTGAATATTGCTGGAGAATAATTACAGTAATTAAATTGCAATAGTAAAAGATTGTAGTAAGGTCTCTTTAAAAGAAGAAAATGGTTATGGGCATGGCTTTATCCGGAGTTACAGGTCCTGAGGTCCATATTCTTTATTTTCAAATCTCCATATTTAGTCAGTTTTGCAACTGTTTAATTGAAGTTATGACATCAGTGACAAACTTCCTTCCAGTCTTAAGGATTTGTTGGTTCCATAAAAGGGCATGCGGTGTAGTTAGTAGGCCTACCATTTATAATTTGGCCGGTGAACTTGGATCAAAAGCTCATGAAGTTTAGACACAACAGGTCGGCTTATATGAAAAATTAAAAATGAAGAAGCTAGCTTATTTTGTCATCATGTTTTGTGATACAGGTTATTGCTGCCACCAATAGAGTTGACATTTTGGATCCTGCCTTGTTGAGGTCAGGACGACTTGACAGAAAAATTGAATTCCCACTACCAACAGAGGATGCAAGGGCAAGAATCATGCAAATACATTCCAGGAAAATGAATGTCAGGTATTAGAATTTCTTTTTAATTAGTCTGGGAGCATATAAGTATGGAAATACTGCTTTGCTTTTCGAGATTTATTGTATTATGTACAAAAGTTACCTTCTAATATGTTTTAGATACACAAAAGTTATTCACATGTTCTTTTTCCAGTTCGGATGTAAACTTTGAAGAACTTGCTAGGTGTACAGATGATTTCAATGGTGCCCAGTGTAAAGCAGTGTGTGTAGAAGCTGTAAGTATTATGGCATCTTTTACTTTTACTTGTGGTTTAAAGATGAAATAGCTAACAGCACATCACTAACACATCTGATAATATTAAGATTTTGATACCCATTGTTGATCTTTATTTAATTACGCAGACTTATTATTATAACTCTCTAGATAGCTTTCTACAAAATCACAGATACCACCACTGTGAAGGTGTACGGCTCTTTGACAAACATAATTGTCAAACAAAGAAGCAATGATATTGGTGGTTTAGAATAGAAAATGACTAAAACCACTAGCTTATATTATATTGTATTTCCTTGAATTTATAATTTTAACATTTAAAACCTTAACTGAATGTTTCAGGGTATGCTTGCACTAAGAAGGGAGGCCACAGAGCTTAGTCATGAAGACTACATGGATGCTATTTTGGAAGTTCAGGCAAAGAAGAAAGCTAATTTGCAATATTATGCTTAATTTATGCTGATACAGATGTAATGAGACAATAAGTGAGCTGTTAAGATTAACATTGTAGTAGATACGTGAAATATGGTGTTGGTGGTATGTTCAAAGCCATCTGTACCTTGGCTTTCCAGTTACTTAAGGATGTTGCCAGCAGTTGTAGTGTTATGAACATTGATGTTAAAATGAGTATCCACTGCAGTTAAAAACAAGAAGAGACAATTTTGCATTTACCATATTGTGAAAGTTCCCTTCAAATGTGTAAACAATGTTGAAATAAAGAGAGTTAGCATATGCACTGCAAAGGGCAGATTGCGAAAAAGGTTTCATTTCTTTAATGTACCTAACATGTATCTATGACCTGTTAATGGTTTTAAGTTTGAAAAAAAAAAAAAAATGGACGGTCCATGAATGCACCTCTTTATGTCTTTTCAAATCATTTAAGTTGGATAGAAGCATTGTATATGTAGGATAGAAAAAACTTGCTTTTCCTTTTTTTATTTTTGAAAAATTTTGCACTGGGAGGACAAATCAGTGACTATATTCTACTCGGATATAGTTTATTTTTTGCGTTTTTCATGTCAAGCAGTTGGCCCAATTATTTTAAAAAATTTGGTCCCAACCCCTTTTATAGGTGCAAAAAAAAAAAAAAAAAAATGCCAAATTGAATTAAAATACTATTTTCACCAACTCAACAGTTCGGCTGGACTGATAAATTATTGTTCCATTTCTGCCCTGGTACAAAATATTTAACTGCCTTTTTAGGTTTATGACCAATTATTAGCAATTCTGTAGAAATCCAAGTTTTAATTGATATTCACAAAATGACAACATTCACCTCATATAAAAAAGAAATTGATTTCTTTTAGGCAAGTTTATCAAGCTGAATATTAACTTGTAAATTAATATTTTAAACTTCTCATTAAGTACGTTGCAGCAAAGTGATGTTGCACAAAAGTACATGCGTAAAATATGAAAGAATTCATTAATCTCACAAAATATGTATTTGAAAGGAAAATGTAATGGCAACATTCATTTGCTCATGATGCAATTTTAGTGGATGAACATCTGACAGAATATTTGTCCAAATGTCATGCACAAGCTTTTTCATTACACCTCAACATGACCAATAACAGACAAATATTTTTTGATTCAATCTAAGTTGTAACATGTAAAGTCTATTACATATCAATACCGTCCTTGTTACAAAAGCACCAAGCTAGCATTTAAGGTACACAGTGTAGGGTTTTCGTAAAAAAAAAATTCTCGGCAGTAACGAGTATTTTCCTCTGCCTAAAGCACCTTTGATCCTATTTTCCTGACACTTGCCTTCATATTGTTATATTCTGAGAAATTTGGATTGTGTGAGATATAAAACTAATGATTGAGTTTCATCAGGATTCACCAAACTTGATAATTATTTGCAAAATTAAATTGTGGCTTTTATCTGTTGAAATGTGATCAAAGAGTATTACCTGTCCTCAAAAGTACAACGTGGGTAATGCACTTAATGTGTTTATAATCCTACACTTTGTCACCTTATCTGCAATTGAAAAACAGCATTTTTTTAATTCATAAACATTTCACAGCACAACTTCTTTCATTTTACACTACAGAAATCATTTTCAGTCACTATCTTCATTTGACCTGCTTAATTTCTTCTGTATGATTTTAGCAAGGTCAACTTTTTTATGTTGATACCGATGTCGAGATTCATTTTTTTGAAAGGTACTTTCATCGTCATCCTCATCTGATTTGGCACTATCAATTTGAGACCGTTTCTCCTTAAAGTATTTTGAACACTTCCCATCTGATTTATCAGGGCTGCCTCTACGTTTTCTTGGAAGTTTTGCTCCAACATATTCACCCCAATCTTCATCCTCTAGATCCTCTTCTTCTAGACTCTCCTTTCTCTTTTTACGAGGTTTACGGCTCTTTCTTTTCCCTCTGTTAGGAGATTGAGCATCACCAGTGTTACTCTCTTCATCATCTTCTTGCTCTTTCCTGCTTTGGGCATTTTCACCCATTTCTGACAAAATAAGGGCAGCTTCTTCTGGAGTACATGTCTCTGTATCTGGAATCTTCATTCCATGCTTTCCCTTTTGATGCCTGTGTAAGTTTCCTGGCAAATTAATAAGGACCATATCACCTGATTCATCTATCTTAAATACTGTATATTATATTAAGTATTCATCTATATTAAATGTATGTTTGAGTTTCTCATATGCAAATTATATAATATTTACGATAAGATAACATGTTTTACCTTTCATTGTAAAAGAACTTCCACAAAAGCAGACATGTGGCTTGTTCCCTTCATGCATGTACATATGACCCTGTAAGTTATGAACTCTTCCAAACTGCTTTCCTGTAAAATAATGCATTCATACATGTGCATTTTTCTTCAGCTATATAAACTATCAGTGCTATTAAAATAAGTTTTTCTAGCAAACACTATATTCAGCTTTGACACTATAATTGCTGTTCTTGTCAGTAATATTTTTTGTAACCAGGAAATGCTAAAATAAATGACATACTCTGTGAGACTATGAATGTGTGAAAACCCATATGCCATGCTTTGAACCAAGTCTTCTGCCCTCTGAAAGCTAAAGCTACATCTTAGTCCTATCCAAAGGCACAAATGACAAGGAAAAAATCTATTACCCTGACCGCAGGAAAAGTACGATACATGATAACTACTTACCATACCCTTCAAACATATTAGGGAATTTAGCTTTACCAAGCTTTACTGCTCCTTTTTCTTATTATATGTCAACTTACCACAAACATTGCACTTAAAAGGCTTTTCATCAGCATGAACCACCTGATGAGCTTTGAGTGTTTGCGGCTGCGAGAACATCCGATCACATTTGTCACATTTAAATTTGCGGTCTTGGTCATGAAGAAGCTGATGACGAACCATGTTGGCTTTCTGATTAAATGCCCTGTCACAGACTGGACATTTGTGTGGTTTTAGACCACTGTGAGTAAATTGATGTGCTTTCAAGTGATGCTCCTAAAACAAAAGCAATGTATTCTCAAAAGTAATAAAATCATCTTTAAAGTTTTTCAAATTTTTCACATCTTGAGAATGTTAAATAATTTTACACACTTTAAACTTAAAAAAAATTGTACAAAGTATATATTAACATACACATAATATGAACAGAATTAAATTTTCCCAACATAAGTAATATTGAGAGTTATTCATTAATTTGGCTTTTTTATTTGTGTTCAAGCAAGGTGCTGAGCTATCTAAATCTACCTTCATAAAATCCATTCCACACTCTTTACAAATGAAAGGCCTTTTTCCAGAATGCTTCAGCATATGGTCCCGCAACTGGCTGGGGTAATGGAAAACTCTGTCACATTCAGTGCACTTATGATCCATCTTAATACCTCTCTTTTTTCCTGGACTGGGATCCTTTGAGTCTTCATCTGTTCCTGATGCATTTCCAGGTTCTTCTTTTCTAAAACAACAGTTTTTAAATCTGACGCATAAACAACTGGTATAAACTGGATATAGTTTATATGTTTCTGATAAAATATAATTAACATTTCTAATATAGAAATATTTCAATAAGAAAAACGTTTCTAATGCAGGGTATGGAATATAAAGAATGCAAATGTATGGGATTCCACAGACTGGTGTTTACAAATGATGCAATCTCAAATTAATGATAATCAGTAGCTTACTTTGGCTTATTAATGTGCTGATGCTCTATGTGTATTCTTAGCTCGCTAGGATAGGCAAATCCTCTACCACAATGATCACACTGATGAGGTTTAGTGTCCATGTGGGTTGCCATATGGCGCTTCAGATGGCTTACTTGAGTGAAAGACTTTCCACACTTCTCACAGCTATGAGGTCTGGAATTTGTGTGAGTCAACATGTGGGTATGTAAGTGACTTAGTTGTTTAAAGAGACGTCCACATACTAAACAGCAATGTGGTTTGATGCCATTGTGTCCTAGGACATGAGTTACAAGGTTATGTTTTGTGGTATAAGTTTTTTCACACATGTTACACTTCCAACGTTTTTGGTCACCCATGGTCACAAGCTGATCATCCGATATCTGAACATTTACTTCCATTCTGTCAATAGGCAAGCTGGACATAACCATTAAATCATCAAGCTCATCTTCTTGCTCCTTTTGTTCAGAAGAAGACAGTTTGCGTTTGTAATGGGCCTCACGCTTCTTGAATGGTTTCAGTATTTTAGTTGGGGATTTCTTAATAACCATGCTGTCACTGCTATCATTTGCAGGCTCTTGGATTTGTGAAGGATTTTTTGTTTCTGAGGATTGTGTTTTTTCATCTTCTTGGTTCACTTCCTCCTGTGCACTTTCTCCTCCTGAATCTGAATCACTATAATTACTATATTCCTCATCAGACTGTTTATCATTAGTGTTCTTTTCTTTCTTTGATTCATTTTTCTTATGTGAAAACTCTAAGTTTTCTTCTCCTCTGTCTGACCTATAAGATTTGTCCAAGCCACCAGCTGTCTCCATGTCCATTTCTGTTTTTCTTGGCCAATTCTCTGATGCTGGGACTTGATCTACTATTTGATGCCTGTTTTCTATTTGATTTGTACCTAATCCACTTGGAGCATCATTTATAGTTTGTCCTGAACCACAGCCAACTTCTTCAGGAAAGGGTATTCTTTTGGGTGGATGCTGAGAAATAGTTTGATCTGATGATCTGTTATAAATGTCTCTTTTATTATCCCGCTCTTTATATCGCTTTTCAAAATGGCGGATAGCATTCATGACTTTCTGTGCATTATCATCTTCATTAGGCTGAATAAGATGAGGAGGCATTAATGGAGGACCAACCTTCCTAGGCACAGTCTTATCTTCAAAGCGTGGTTTGGTCACAAAGCTGGATACACTGCCATGCATGCTCCCAGCTGACCCAAGAGTACTTCTCATAGAGGCATCCAGACCATAGCCAAAGCCGGGAGTTGGCCCAATAGAATCAAATGATGGACCCATTCCTGAAATTAACAAACCAAATAACTATTTGCTTTGTTATTGTATTAGTGTGTTTATTTGCTTTATTATTACAAACCAAAATAATTAATTTCTATTGAATTAATGATAAATTTTAACTATCAAAACATTTAATTTTGAAATCAACATTCCAAAAATTAAACAAGACAAAAGTTGCATGGTGACAAGTTGACAACATATAATAATAACAAAGCAGTCATACCATAGAACTTATCAGAAGTGAAGCTCCATCACTTTTTCTAAATTGTTATGTATATGCAACATGTTAAGCACTAGTTGTTATATGACATCCGAATATAAATGTACTGGATTATGGACTAGCAGAATGCATAGTATGAAGTCTTGATATACTACATAAATCACTTCCTAATTCTGACTCTGGCATAAATTTTAATTCTGAATTATTCAGCTGAACAATCATACCTCTATTTCCATGAAAACCAGGGTCCATGCCTAAGTCAGATGAGTAATCTGGCAAGTAGAGAGGTGATGGAAACATGCCCTCTCTGTATCTATGTCTTTGTCCCCCATGACCTATGTGCATATATGGTGGAACAGGATCTGAGTCTTGTACTAAAGGACAGCTGAAATCTAACTGACCCAAATCATCTCCTGGAAATCCATCCATGGCTGCAGAGATTTCTGAAACAGATAAGTACTTGAGTCAATTTCCTTTTATTCATACAGGCAATCAGATGACCATTTAAACACTGAGTGATGAAAGTAAAACTGCAAATGACACATCGAAATAAATTCCAGGTGAAACTGAAAGACACCAAATGATAGGCCTATGGACAGAAATGATGGTGCAATGCAATTTTGAAAAGACAAATTACTTATTATCTTTGCATGAAACAAATATAAAAATTAAGAGAAACATAACAATATACTGATTTCAATTACCAGAGAAGTATTTTAAAAGCAGACCATATCCATGCCATAAAATTAATTTAAAGGTGATGAATTGCGAAAGTGACCCCTCTATAATCAATGCTATTTCAGTCATTTCAAGAAGAAAACAGGTTCAAATTCACCAGTTCTTACATGACACTTGCCTGTAACCTTGTTTTGTCGCCGTTCAAAATTCAAAGAATTAATGACAATGGTTGTTACATTTAACTTATTTCTTAAAATGTAAGGTTCATATCTATAATAATTGGGTCAATGAAAAGAAGGCAAGATGGCGGAGTGAGAGAACGAAAGAACGTCAACAAAGGAAAAAAGAATGTCGAGTAATCCACTAAAACAAGTCTATGGAGCAAATAAAGAGAGAAAACACCATGAGAATATGCATAAAATAAAGAAACAAATGTATTGCTTTAAATTAAAACAAAAAATATATTCTGACAAAATAATTCTTACCTTCCCTCTTTCCGTGCTTTCTTCCTCCTTCTTTTCCGGCTGCTTTTCTGGTTTTGTCACGTGGCAAGAGAAGCTTTGAACAGTGACAACACTAATATTAGCAGTATGAAAAATGGAAATGTCCCACCCACTAGTTTAGTTTCATTTAATTCAAAGCACAATTTTTTGGTTGTTAAGAGAGCATTTTTTTAAAATTCTGAACATAGAATACATGAAGTTATGTTGCTATTTCCATCTGGATGCAATTTTCTCCCATTTCGGCGTTGAACGCACGCGGAAAATGGCGGACGACATTGTTGATCTTCAAGAGGCGAATGAGGAATTCGAAGTTGACGAAGAAGGAGATCGTAAGTAAAAACCGATCATCTTGCAAAGATTCAAAAGTAGTTCTCCTATTGCAAAAATTATTGAGTTCATTGTAGTGCAACAGATAATGTATTTATTTGAGTGCTTTCACGTTTGTCTGTGCCGTGAACCTGACTCGGCCGGACTCGTCTCCCTTCATTGAAATAAAAATCTTGACTTATTAAGATTACAGAACTCACTACGAAATTACTGCTGTGGTATTTTTGTTGTTAATAACATTGATTACATATAACATGTGTGGTTTGTTTATTTTTGATACATGTAAAATGGTTAAATGAAGTGATTTTAGTCTAGATACAAGTTGCTGAACTGACGAACAACTTCAGTGATATATAACATGTGTTTTGTTTATTTTTGATACATGTTAAATGGTTAAATGAAGTGATTTTAGTCTAGATACAAGTTGCTGAACTGACTAACAGTGATGCACATACTGTGTGCTTACTTTTGTGTGTATATTTATACATAAATCTGTAACCTGTCATTGTAAGTCTAAGTTAAGGATGCATTTATTTGATATTTTTCTTTGAGTTAATGTTATTTAGGCCATGCAATACTAGTGAAAATATAAGGCTATTAATTTATTAATCTATTCAATTATTTATTTTGAAGAGGGGCTACAAAAACTGAAGGAAAAGGCCAGGAAAAGGAAAGGAAGAGGGTTTGGATCAGGTATGGGTTTTCTCTTTCGTCACATACCTTCCCATATTAAAGTAATATTCTCTCCTATTAATATTAAAGTAGTATTCATCAAGTTTGAATTTTCACAGTATATGAGTTTTCACAGTTTTCCAGAGGTCATTGGTTTTAAAGCTTCATACATTTAATCGGTGTATTTGGGTCTGTGATTTGATTTGTTATATATTCAAGATAAGGAGTAAAACTTTAAGACAGATTATCTATATTCAAACTGAGAGCAGTATTTTGGCAATGTATGTTTTTGGAGTTTTATCATTTTCTTTTGTTTTAGATGGAGCAACCAGAACAAATGTAGAAGATTATGAGGCCATGGATGTGGATGAAGAAGGGGGTCCTGGACCTCAGAGATGTGAGTCAAACAACCAATTAGGAACAGTTATTAACCTATTTCAGACAAAAAATACTTATTTTACAAAACATGTACATATAGAAAAAGAATATCATGTTTTATGATCACATGCTTTTTATACATTTTTCTTTTGAATTAATATCTTATATTCAACAATAATTAATGATTTTTTTTAGCTGTAGAAGGATGGATCCTGTTTGTCACAGGGGTACATGAGGAAGCACAGGAAGATGATATATATGATAAATTCTCAGAGTATGGAGAAATAAAGAACATTCATCTAAACCTTGATAGAAGAACTGGTTTCCTTAAAGTAAGTATATGTCGTAGAGGTTTAAGTAAGTAAGTAAGTTTATTAAGACATGGCAACCAAAAGGTTGAAGTTATACATAAAATGGAGTGAGAATAAAATTTACAAATTTACAAATTAAAATTTTGATATATAATATAGGATATGCGAATAGAACTTAATGAGATTTAAAAAAAAAAAAGGATAAAGTAAAATAAATAAATAAGGTTGGATATGACATTTAGAGTCTCAAATAAACAAAAACTAGACAACAATGCTGGCAAACATACAGACACCATACAAGAAACAAGCCACCAAAGCTGGCAAATGTTCAGATATTATGTAGAAAAAGTGCACAAAATAATGTTTTGACCAATTTTGATGCACTGTTACATAATGCTTTAAAATAGCATAATCACTCACCCTCTCATATTATGTACTACAGGTAACATGGACATTGAAAAACTAGCAAGTGAATCAATTCCATGTGATATAAAAGCCACTGAAAAAGATTTTTGTGTGAAATTTTCATTTTTCACACATAAAAAAAAAATTACCGTAAATGTAAACTGATCATGCTGATTTTCAAAAATGACCTGACGCTTTGCCAAACAAAGTTACTCAATAAATTTAAAGTAAAACAAAAATACAGTTTGGAAGTTATGGGGCAAATGTCACCAAAATTGTGCAAAAAAAAAAAAAAAGAACAATTACAGTAAAAGTAAACCAATCATGCTGATTTTCCTTAGCAACTGGCCTCTTTACCAAAGTAAGTCACTCTGTAAATTTATAGTAAAACAAAAATACGGTTTGGAAGTTATGGGATGAACATCGTGTGTCTGACAGTCATGGCGCGGACAGATAGACTAATCAGAATATATACAGACACTTACATTGTCTGTATATAAAAATATCTAAACGTCATTTCCTTTCTGCAGATATTTTCGATTTATATTGTTACTTGGTTTATTAAAGGGCTATGCACTGGTGGAATACGAGACATTCAAAGAAGCCCAATCAGCAATAGAAGCTTTAAATGGTTCAGACATACTTGGACAGAAAATAAGTGTTGACTGGTGTTTTGTAAGAGGCCCCACAGCTAAGAAAAACAGGTAAATTGATAAATACATGTATTTCATGTGAAATTGTTCAAAGTATTGAAAAAGTCATATTTCTTAAACCATTAAAGGATTTTCCAGAGTATGCAGTGAAATGTCAACCTGTACATTTGTTGATGTGAGCATTTGAACAAAAAAAGAGCCAATCAATCACCATATTGTTCGATGTTGATATAAAGATTCTGGACTTCTTTCTCAACCTATGCTTTAATGCCAAGTTGTTGTGCCTTTTCAGTGGCAGCAGCAGAAGAAGGCGAAGTAGTGATAAGAGACGATAAAAGACTTGATTATATACAAGGACTTTCTATATAACCAGTTGATTACTGATTATTGGTGAATTAGCCCCAAGTAGTACATGGATGGAGTGGATGGACACAGTATCTGTTATGCTGATGGGTACCCATCATTGCATTGTTTAATTCCAAGAAGTATGACCCAGACCAGTGTTATCAAAAATTGGGCTATTTTACAGCATAAGGATATAAGAAAAATAATGAAGTCAAAAACCTCTTTGTTGAAAATATTTGAGTAAATTTAAAAATACTGTACGTTTTGTAATAAGGGGCCATTCAGAATGAGTTCTGTCAACCTAGCTAGTGCACTCAAATTCCCTAAATGCAATCAAATAAACCGACTAACACGCTGCCTCTCGTTTCCAACGTTTTAATCACCGGCTTTGACTCAATGCCAGGAGGCGGTGTGTTAGTCTGTTTATTAAATTGCATTCAGTGAGTCCATTGGAGTTAGTGTGCACTGGTCAACATACCTCATCCTGAATGGCCCCTCAGACACTGTCAGAAGTTTCATTGTGTACGTTTTATAGAAGTTTTGTGAAAATAGTTTGACAGTTTACAAGATTGTTTGGAGATGATTTACCTACAATAGTATAAAGGTAAAAAATGATTCAAGGATTTTTAGTAGAAGCTGCCTCAAAATGTAGAAATTGATCAGGTGTAAACAGTGTTTGACCTGAAAGACTTTTTTGTACTCAAAATAGAATTGTTGTCACCAAGCTAGTAAAACCAGCAATTTTGTTTAGTTAATGCTTTGATTTATGCCTTGTGTTGACTCTGTAAAGATAAAGGAAAACACATTCAGATGTAAAGATAATTTCTTTATTTGTATATTTTAATTTGTAGGAATAAAATCAATTTAAGTATAATATTTTTCTTGGTTGTGTTTGCCAGATAACAGGAATACTCTTTTTTATAACTTTTAGAACAAATTTTATTTGTATTAAGTTTCCAGAAATATTTCAAATACACAAAACAATTCAAAAGTTCACTCTCCGTCTTTTGTACAATACATTTATGTACAAATATACATAAATTTGCTCTTGGTTCCATGCTGTTTACATTCATTCTCTTAGCTCAAACTTGCAGAATCTAACCAAGCAGTGTTGTCCTGGATATGGTGGATTCAGACTGAAAGATGAGAAGTACATAATCATGAACTTTTTGGTCATAATGAGGAACTTCTTAGTCACTGATGAAGTATTAGTTATTTTTGGCATTTAACATTTTTGACACATGCTAGGCTTAATGCAGAATGGTTACACTAATGTTTGGTTGATATTTGACATGGGTATAAAAGTTCATTACAACAATTTTATTAGTAATAACAATTAACATGAAAATTTAACATAAGTTAAATGAAGTGAATGTCACCAAAAGTCTCACAATTAAACTCTTCAAAATGGTCACAAATTGTAAAGTAACAGATATAACTCCACCAACAAAGAGGCACCTCAGTAAGTGTGGAAATGAATATTCTTTGTGTATCGTTTTGCCAACAGATAGTATTTTCAAAACACACAATAACAAACATGCATCAATGAAATTTAAGTAATTTTGTCAATTAAAAGCCTACCCAAGTACATACAAACCTCTGCATCCCACAGTTTGCGCATCTAATGAGAACAACAGTGATATCTAGTCTAATTTCTAGCACAGTGTTATCAACATGCAAGACTACAGGACAAATGTTTTGCTTAAGCAACAGCAAAGGAAACAATTCCTTGATATCTCAGTTTTAAGTTGTGAAGTGGGTATTTAACTTCAATTCCCATATCATTAGCCAAATATTTTAAGTAACTTTTAAGGCAAAAATGATGCAAACATGGCAAAATTAATGATCTTTTTGATGTTGCTCATTTATATATTGAAAACTTCCATTGTTCACTGGGTTAAGATACAATAACTATAGTCTACTAAACATCATGGTTATAGGTGGACTGATACTGTAACAGTGAAGAGTAAATATATAGGTATTCAATAAATGGCCCACAAGCAGAGCTGCCAAGCCCCAACTTATATAATACATCTTTTTTTATATATCATCCCAGGAAAATGCAGTTTGCATGCTTTGCAATAAAAATAAGGGAAAGCCAGTATCTTTGCTGCCACAAACACTTTAAATTAAATGGTTAAACTATGTTGTAGTTTGTTTGATGCTAAAAGGGTGTTTCTGATGTCTATTCATCAAAAATGTATACAACAATAGGGGAGGGAGAAAGGTAAATTAGTATATATTAGTATGTGCAATCATACCAACTCTTTGTGCAGCAGCTTCAACCTGGATTAAGGGTGCAACTAAAACAATGGTAAGAAATAAAGTAATTAAGCTGAAATAATGAAGATGATAAAAATTCAATCGTGCAACAAAAGAAAAACTAAACTACTGACAAAAGATTGAAGAAATATACTGATATAACTCGAAACATAAATTGAGATTAAATAACCTCCTTAGATTTATTTAATAAACATAACATGTAAGTCATAAAGTGCCAAACAGACAAAATCAAATATGTGCAACAGAAGTGACTGAGAAAAAATTTGTGCCTTTATGTGAAAAACATTAAACCTTGAAAGATGGGTCAAAGATCAAATCTATAGTCATATTTGAAAATCTCCATACATGACTTCCTGCTCATTTTTTATATAGTTCCCAATCATGGGCTCACTGATCTGGGGTGGTCTTCGTGATAAATTCAAATTTGGGGTGGGCAAAATGACCTTTGACCTGGTGTACACAATATTCCTAGGCCACATATGGTCATGACCTATGGAGTATTTGGATCTTAGCAAAAAAGTCTTAGATATAAGGCAAATTTAAATTTTGAGACTTACATATGGACTGACAAGGTGATTCCAGTATACCCTACCTCCCAAACATTCATTTGCATAGGTACGTACTAGTATATGCACATGTTCAATGAAAAGCCGTTTTTGAATGCTACTAAATTCAGTAAATAATGATTCAATAGAAAAAACTGATAGGTTCCTTGGATTTCATAAGAAAGGCTTTATTTTATATTTGCAGCTTAATGTAAAATATCTACTTCTACTGTTAATGGTTTCAATGGGTGCATACAATTTTTAAAGAGTGTTGAATGGTTAAAATTTGTGGTGCTGTCAATATGCTCAACAAAGATGCTCACAATGATTGACAGTTTAAAAACAATGACACTTACATATTCTGATCTCAAATCTGCATTTCTCTTGTTAGTGTCTTTGATCTGTTGAATGATATCCAGTTCATTTTTCAGGTTGATCCATCGTTCCTGCATGCGACGCTGCCTTGATGCTTGCTGATTTATTCTAAAATTAAATATTTTTAGATTTAATTGCTATAAACTATGACTGGGTTCCCATAACGAGATACATCTAATAGGATCGATCCATCTCCAATGGGTATCTCACTAAACTGCTTTCAGCGTAACTTAGATGTCTGGCATGCCTACCAAAGCTGCTACACAAAAATTAATTACCCCGTAGCTTCTTCAATAGGTGTGGCAGAGATCTAAGCCACTTAAGTTGATTGCAATTTAGCGGGAATCCCCTAGCTTGGAGATAGATCAATCCACAGTTAGAACGATAGGGTCCGAGAATGGTCCTATGATGCATGATAGATGGATGCAAATAATCTTAAGCAGTCCTGTGATCTTTTTCAAAGGTGACCAATATTTTGTCTTTCAATATCTGCATCAAAGCAGTAGTTTCTTTCTACCAGATCTGTGCACCAACCTTTCTTTCAAAAGAGTTTCTATTCTTTTGTCCACTGTGTTGTGGATAACATATGGAATATCTGGCCTTTGTCTCCTCAAATAGTCATCGAGAGTTGGGAAAGACCTCAATGTAAATACAAAGAGGGATGACATGCCACTGTTAGGTACATAGTCTTCACTGGGATCCTTCTGAGATGCTGTAAAAGTTGATTGGGAACATGTAGCATTAATCAAAATTTTCCAGGGTATAAATTCTTTATCAATTTTTTAAAGATTGACAACATAATTATGTTACAATCTAGAGAAAAAGAGCATTTGCTGATCTATAATTAATTATTGCTCTTAACATGATCAGATCTCCAAATCATCTGAAAAATTTCAAGAAAGGGGAAAAGAAACAGTAAATGTTATACAGTCAATACCAATATAGAGGAATAAGGGTTTATTTCCAGTATACTGGTTTGATCCTTCGTATGTACATCTTTTGAAGTGGCCCCTTTTTCTTGTTTTTTTTTTTTACCTAATCAGGTGCATGTATGTGATGACTTCAGAGTGTTTCCTTTAGTTTTACCTTTGAGGTACATCATGTGTCCTTGTCCACCCACAGTTATAACTGGGTCCCAGGGAGTGGTCAGTTCATGTGTGGTAGGCAGGTTGACCTGGCACAGAGGAAGGGAGTTGCCTTTGGTCACATCCAGCAAGAATGCTGTTCCATTTCTTTTCACAACAAGGATCTGAGTGAAAATGAGAAAATGTTCCCATGCTAATATATATATATAAATTCATCCAAAACATAAACACAAATGATAAAATATACAGTAAGTATCTGCCAATAGCACTGCTGATATCAAGTATCCTTTAATATTGGACTGGTTCTAGGTTACAGGTAATATGAATACATGGTAAACATTATCTGTTACTTCATGTAAATGTATTCTGAACATTAGGTACAGAAAATAAAACATACCACTTCTGGAACTCCATTCACTGGCTCAACCATTGTAGGCAAATTGTCCTGATCTGACATTCTGAAGTAAAAACAAAAACATATGCATAGTTCATATATAATTTATTTTTTAATACATATGTATATCATTTTTAATACTGTAGTTTGGATGACATTTTTGAAACACCATTTTAAGTGAAAACAGATACTTTTTCTAAGTATTAAATTATTTAATTATTTATTTATTTAATTTTGGAGAGGGGGGGTTGGAAAAGGTAGGGTTGACCTAACAGATATAACTTAAACAATCGATGCAGTCAAGGAGTTACAACAGATTGAAACTCCTTGATGCAGTGCAATGTCATTGTTTGTGGAGAGTAAATTGCATGACAGGTGAGTAAATCTTACTTGGGCATGACTGTTATAGGCTGCGAAGTCTTTCCCATACCACAATTGACCAAGTATACACTGCCATCACTGCACCAAGCTAACAGGTAGCTGTTTGTCTTAGTGCCATAAGGAGGATAATGCACCTTGTCTTGACCACATATATTGGGGTTGAGAAAGACTAACTTCAATATAGTAGCATCATCTGTTAGGTTGATTAATCTACGGTTGAGTCCTTGAAAAAAGCATGGATTGAGTTTTTAATTATAAATCACCATTATACATTTAACTATAAGCAGAGACTTATAGTTGCATAAAAGCTCTTGCTAAAAATGTAATACCAATTCCTTGTTGTAAAATTAACTACATTCATAATTTTTACCAAATTAAATTCATAGAATATTAATACTGAAAGAGACTTCCTATTTTACCTATGTGCATATCCCATATTACAACAATTCCATTTTTCAGTCCAACTGCTAACAGAGAAGTGCACTGACTCACAGCTGTAGCAGTCAATACATCTGAATGTGGAGAAACAAACTCTGGCTTATGTTCAATATCTGCAAAAGAAAAAATATGATAATTAATAAGATACATGAAAGCTAAACAAAACATCACACATAAATAATTATCCACTGTGGTTGTAGTTGTATTTGCTGAAAGAGAGATAACTTTAAACTCTGCAGCTTTTTTAAACGAGACTTTGATTTTCAAGAAGAAGTAATAATATTATCATCAATTCTCTTTGTCCATAGGTTCATTACTTGAAGAACATGAAGGTGAGAATGTTTTAACTTGTTGGAGTGCATGCTTTTGCTGTGCCCCTAGCCATAGCAGGGCCATAGCCTTCGGGGGGGCAGGGGGGGGGGGGCAGCTGCCCCCCCTNCTGTAGTTTGTTTGATGCTAAAAGGGTGTTTCTGATGTCTATTCATCAAAAATGTATACAACAATAGGGGAGGGAGAAAGGTAAATTAGTATATATTAGTATGTGCAATCATACCAACTCTTTGTGCAGCAGCTTCAACCTGGATTAAGGGTGCAACTAAAACAATGGTAAGAAATAAAGTAATTAAGCTGAAATAATGAAGATGATAAAAATTCAATCTTGCAACAAAAGAAAAACTAAACTACTGACAAAAGATTGAAGAAATATACTGATATAACTCGAAACATAAATTGAGATTAAATAACCTCCTTAGATTTATTTAATAAACATAACATGTAAGTCATAAAGTGCCAAACAGACAAAATCAAATATGTGCAACAGAAGTGACTGAGAAAAAATTTGTGCCTTTATGTGAAAAACATTAAACCTTGAAAGATGGGTCAAAGATCAAATCTATAGTCATATTTGAAAATCTCCATACATGACTTCCTGCTCATTTTTCATATAGTTCCCAATCATGGGCTCACTGATCTGGGGTGGTCTTCCTGATAAATTCAAATTTGGGGTGGGCAAAATGACCTTTGACCTGGTGTACACAATATTCCTAAGGCACATATGGTCATGACCTATGGAGTATTTGGATCTTAGCAAAAAAGTCTTAGATATAAGGCAAATTTAAATTTTGAGACTTACATATGGACTGACAAGGTGATTCCAGTATACCCTACCTCCCAAACATTCATTTGCATAGGTACGTACTAGTATATGCACATGTTCAATGAAAAGCCGGTTTTGAATGATACTAAATTCAGTAAATAATGATTCAATAGAAAAAACTGATAGGTTCCTTGGATTTCATAAGAAAGGCTTTATTTTATATTTGCAGCTTAATGTAAAATATCTACTTCTACTGTTAATGGTTTCAGTGGGTGCTTACTATTTTTAAAGAGTTTTGAATGGTTAAAATTTGTGGTGCTGTCAATATTGACAAAGATGCTCACAAAGATTGACAGTTTAAAAACAATGACACTTACATATTCTGATCTCAAATCTGCATTTCTCTTGTTAGTGTCTTTGATCTGTTGAATGATATCCAGTTCATTTTTCAGGTTGATCCATCGTTCCTGCATGCGACGCTGCCTTGATGCTTGCTGATATATTCTAAAATTAAATATTTTTAGATTTAATCGCTATAAACTATGACTGGGTTCCCATAACGAGATACATCTAACATGATCGATCCATCTCCAATGGATATCTCACTAAACTGCTTTCAGCGTAGCTTAGATGTCTGGCATGCCTACCAAAGCTGCTACACAAAAATTAATTACCCTGTAGCATCTTCAACAGGTGTGGCAGACATCTAAGCCACTTAAGTTGATTGCAATTTAGCAGGAATCCCCTAGCTTGGAGATAGATCAAACCATAGTTAGAACAATAGGGTCCGAGAATGGTCCCTATGATGCATGATAGATGGATGCAAATAATCTTAAGCAGTCCTGTGATCTTTTTCAAAGGTGACCAATATTTTGTCTTTCAATATCTGCATCAAAGCAGTAGTTTCTTTCTACAAGATCTGTGCACCAACCTTTCTTTCAAAAGAGTTTCTATTCTTTTGTCCACTGTGTTGTGGATAACATACGGAACATCTGGCCTTTGTCTCCTCAAATAGTCATCGAGAGTTGGGAAAGACCTCAATGTAAATACAAAGAGGGATGACATGCCACTGTTAGGTATGTAGTCTTCACTGGGATCCTTCTGAGATGCTGTAAAAGTTGATTGGGAACATGTAGCATTAATCAAAATTTTCCAGTGTATAAATTCTTTTACAATTTTTTAAAGATTGACAACATAATTATGCTACAATCTAGAGAAAAAGAGCATTTGCTGATCTATTATTTATTATTATAACATGATCAGATCTCCAAATCATCTGAAAATTTTCAAGAAAGGGGGAAAAGAAACAGTAAATGTGATACAATCAATACCAATATAGAGGAATAAGGGCTTATTTCCAGTATACTGGTTTGATCCTTCGTATGTACATCTTTTGAAGTTGCCCCTTTTTCTTGTTTTTTTTTCCTAATCAGGTGCATGTATGTGATGACTTCAGAGTGTTTCCTTTAGTTTTACCTTTGAGGTACATCATGTGTCCTTGTCCACCCACAGTCATAACTGGGTCCCAGGGAGTGGTCAGTTCATGTGTGGTAGGCAGGTTGACCTGGCACAGAGGAAGGGAGTTGCCTTTGGTCACATCTAGCAAGAATGCTGTGCCATTTCTTTTCACTACAAGGATCTGATTGAAAATGAGAAAATGTTCCCATGTTAATAATAATAATATATATATATATATATATCATCCAAACATAATAATAATATATAATAATATAATATATATATATAATATATATATATCCAAAACATAATAAACACAAATGATGAAATATACAGTAAGTATTTGCCAATAGCACTGCTTATATCTAGTGTCCTTTAACATTGGACTGGTTCTAGGTTACTGGTAATATGAATACATGAAAAACATTATTTGTTACCTTCATGTAAACGTATTCTGAACATTAGGTACAGCAAATAAAACATACCACTTCTGGAACTCCATTCACTGGCTCAACCATTGTAGGCAAATTGTCCTGATCTGACATTCTGAAGTAAAAACAAAAACATATGCATAGTTCATATATAAATTATTTTTAATACATATGTATATCATTTTAATACTGTTGTATGGATGATATTTTTGAAACACCATTTTAAGTGAAAAAAGATACTTTTTCTAAGTATTTAATTATTTATTTATATATATAATTTTGGAGGGGGGTTGAAGAGGTAGGGTTGACCTAACAGACAATCTATGCAGTGTGATCTCATTGTTTGTGGAGAGTAAATTGCATGACAGGTGAGTAAATCTTACTTGGGCATGACTGTTATAGGCTGCGAAGTCTTTCCCATACCACAATTTATCAAGTATACACTGCCATCACTGCACCAAGCTAACAGATAGCTGTTTGTCTTAGTGCCATAAGGAGGATAATGCACCTTGTCTTGACCACATATATTGGGGTTGAGAAAGACCAACTTCAATATAGTAGCATCATCTGTTAGGTTGATTAATCTACGGTTGACTCCTTGAAAAAAGCATGGATTGAGTTTGAATTATAATCCACCATTAAACATTTAACTATAAGCAGAGACTTACAGCTGCATAAAAGCTCTTGCTAAAAATGTTTTACCAATTCCTTGTTGTAAAATTATCTACATTCATAATTTTTACTAAATGAAATTCATACAATATTAATTAATACTAAAGAGACTTCCTATTTTACCTATGTGCATATCCCATATAACAACTATTCCATTTTTCAGTCCAACTGCTAACAGAGAAGTGCACTGACTCACAGCTGTAGCAGTCAAGACATCTGAATGTGGAGAAACAAACTCTGGCTTATGTTCAATATCTGCAAAGGAAAAAAGATGATAATTAATAAGATACATGAAAGCTAAACAAAACATCACACATAAATAATTATCCACTGTGGTTGTAGTTGTATTTGCTGAAATAGAGATAACTTTAAACTCTGCAGCTTTTTTAAACTACACTTTGATTTTCAAGAAGAAGTAATAATATTATCATCAATTCTCTTTGTCCATAGGTTCATTACTTGAAGAAAATGAAGGTGAGAATGTTTTAACTTGTTGGAGTGCATGCTTTTGCTGTGCCCCTACCCATAATAACAATGGGCATATGAAAAAAGAAATAGATATGCATGTAACTTTGTAAATGTGTAAGACAGGATAAATGAAAATGACACACAAATACACACCAAAAATAAAAAAATTAAGTATCAAGTGATATAACAGTTGATTAGCAATTAAAAACTGTTTCCAACAAAGTGCTCACCAAGAAGATACCAGGAACCTTGAATAAAATTGATTGCTCAAGTAAAAGCAAAATCATGACTTCCTTGAAGTAAAGGTGAAAAACAATATATCTAAAAAAGTTGAAGAACATAAACATCTCTGGTTAAAAAAAAAAAACATGAGCATGCAAAAGGTCTTCAAACATTCATGCAAAACACCTTTATTTTTCTGTCTGTATGACCTGGAATCATCTGAGAAATCCATCAAAATAGGTTAGGTTCACAGTGACATGTACAAAAATACACATGTATATACGAGAACATGTACAATCCAGTTGAAACAACATTCTTATCAACTTTCCTAGCTATGGGATCCATAAATTGATCAGATAGTAGAAGACAGGGCTATATAAAGAGCAACTGCTCATTGGTGAGAAGGTATAACAAAACTTATTTTAAAAATATTAAACATTCTGCAAATGTAATTCTAATCATATTTACAATATTCAATTTATGCAACATTCTTTTAAGATATTTTTCAATATGAAAAAGTGTTACAGTTTTAAATTACCTTTACTGGCCTTAACCAATGAGTAATAAAAGACCTGTGTTCCTCCTACCCACCATACACCAATAGAAGAGGGACGGCCTGTAAATAATGTACAAAGAATTACACATACTGCACACATTTCCTTTTTTTTATAATGTGATTCATCATGCAAGCATGGGCTTTACAATTTTAAGCACAAGAACAAATGAAAATGTTTACAGAACTCACCCTCCTGGCCAGGCATATCTAAACCAGTTGGCAAAAGTCGACCAGCAGTGAAAAAATGAAACATGGGTTGCCTAAGAAATTAAAACATTCAAACATATAATTCAATCAAGATTATGGTTCATCATTAATAAAAAAAGCACAGGTGTTTATATTAGTTAGATATTAATCAAACTATTTATAAATCTGCCATGCATGGCTTGTGTAACTTGTTCCTATTTTAGTGTGGATGTTTTAAATGATTATAATTATGCTATCTTCATTTCAAACAATTTTGTCTACTTACTGAGCACTCTCTTCCTCCTTTGGTAAATATCTCAGGTGCTGCTCATGGAAATAGTCAAACACTGCCTTTCTATTTTCCAAATGGTGAGCTGTAAGGGAGTGGTTAGAACCACTGCCTATAACTTCCCCAGTATCTGTTAACTTTGTGGCCTGCTGAGGTGTGCTAGCATTGCAGCCTGAATTTATATATAAATTTACATGCATGGAACAAATTTATAAATTTAAAGGATAGGTACGGGTTACTACTCATCTTTGAATGTGAGTAAGTTAATGTCTTTAATATTGAAAACCACAATCAGGTAAAACCAAATCAAATAAATAGTAGCTGATTCAAATAAGTGTATCATAACTTCAAATTAACTGTAATACTGTTTGGCAATTCCTAAAATTTTCAATTCAACCTGTGTTTTGCATAATTTTACTTTAATACCTGTGATATCAGCTGGTGGTCTAATTTTTACAACTAATGTAGGAGTAGAAAACTTTGTATGCATTTTTTCTGAACTCCCTCCACCACCAGGGGGTACTGGTGACATTGCCCCTCTTGATGATGTTGGACTCTGGAAATAAATTTCAGTGAGACCTTGCTAATATGAAAAATTGCTTTGGATGCACTCTGTCGACTCAAAGCATATTAGTGACATACAATAAAGTAAACAGTCTTCACAAAAATTTCAGGAACATTCTTAAAACAAACATTCAATGGACTACATGTACAAACCCTCTTAGGCCGTATTCAGAACAGTGGACTAAGGCTTCGTTCACATGCAATGTCTATTTTCTAAATTCTATTTTCTATTTGCGCTATCTTATGATCACGGTCTGTGCCCTGAATATCCCGCGGCGTAATTACTGACAGCGCGAGCCAGTTACTATAAGTTACTATAAGTAACTGGCTCGCGCTGCCAGCAATTACGCGGCGGGATATTCAGGGCACAGACCGTGATCATAAGATAGCGCAAATAGAAAATAGAAATTAGAAAATAGACATTGCATGTGAACAAAGCCTAACTAGTCTGTGGGTCAAATATGGCTGACCCACTTGAATACCTCCCCACGGGGAATCTATTCAGTGTCTATTAGTGGATTAGACAGCAAGATTTTAGTGGGTTGCCATATTTGACCCATGGACTAGTTAGTCCACTGTTCTAAATGTAGCCTTACAGAGTAAGAAAAGCTTATCAGTGAAGGCCCAAAATTTTTACGGTATTCAGGCTTATTCCAAATTAAATGGATTTACTTTTCATGTGCAATATATTCTAACAGGACAGTTTTTTCAGAGTACAGAATAATGCTTTATTTTATAACTAATTTGGGAAAAAGAAGGGAGGCTTCTATAAATTTATTTAAAAAAATGATAATGGTTAATTATAGGAATGCTCAGTACATAAATTTCAAATGATGCTGATTTCATTTCTGTGAAAAAAAAAAAGGTAGAAAAAAAGCATGCTAATGCTAATTATATATATAAATCAGTAATTTCATGAAATCATTATCTTGGAAAATAAAAATTTTAGGGAGTACAATGGTGCAATAATATGATAAACTGCTGGGATATCATAATGAAGAAGGATATGTAGGGGTAAAAGCAACATATGTGATCATATCACATAAAATAATGTGATTTGGGGAGGGGGAGGATCCAAGCCAAGCTTACTGGTGTTACAAAGAGACGTGGAAGACCAAGGCTGCTTCCCTGAAATCCAGTATATACATTATTATACAATATCACCATCAATATCATTGAAATACATCCAAAAAAAATTAAAAGGGCCACAATGCTGTTCATTTCCTCATGTTCTATTTGTTGGTTAAAGAGAACTGCATTTGATTCTCCTTCAGCACTTGAGTAAAGACATGACAATAAAGGAGATTCAATATTTTGATCCAGCTATATTTAAATTCTTCAAAATTACTGAAACCTACTCATACATAATATTTCAAAACTTTCATCCCTAAACTTTTGATCTCAAATTTTTTTTAAAAGTGAGGGTCACTTTTAAAACAACATAAGTTATTTCATAAACATAATGATTAATTCAAGTATCCACATACAAAAAGAAATATACATGTCTGTGTGACATTCCTGCCTACCTGACTCCTCTGTCCAACAGATTGTTTTTCTTCTTTCTCAGCATCTTCTGCATCTATCATTTTTTCCTCCCCAGGTAACTGTTCTCCATCTGCTGGAGCATCACTGTCATCTCCCTAGATAAAACGCATTTTTCATACATAACTGTCCCTCAAACTAGACAGCAAAGCTTGTAAATGTACAGATACCAACAGTTTGGCATACACTTTTTGCATTTACTCTACTATTTCATATTGAGCTGCAATTTATGAAGTGGGCCTAGGTAATTATTTCATCTTTTACATGAATGTTTTGTATATTTAACATATTGTCTATTGTCTATGATTTTCCTGTATCAATGGATTATTTTTCTTTATATTTTTACATACCAGTGGTGCAGGACTTTGTGGCTTTGTTTGTGATGTAGACTTCTTTGATGTAGCTTCAAGCTCTCTAAGCCAGTCATCCCTAGGTAGTTTTTGAACTTCAATCCATGTTTCCTTATTGCTTGTATCTTTAAAAAAAATATGCAGATCAATTGGGTATAACACTAGGGTCAAAGGGAACAAGATGCTTACATTTTTCAAAACAAGAATCTCAGTGCTTTATTTTTAATATTTTACACAATTTCTTGAGATTAAACATGACAGAACATTACCTTCAAAAACTATTCCAACAAAGTCTCCCTCAGTAGAAGCCTGACATTTTGTTATTATGGTCTTACTTCCACTTCCACCTTGCTCACTAGCCACTTTAAGAAGGTGTATTCTATCTTGAGCAAAGGCAAAAAACCTACTGACACCTGAAAAGAAAGTTCAAACCATTTATATAGGTATTTTGCCACTGTATTCATTTTTTACCTAAAAGCATCAGTATCAGTATCCTGTTAAATTAAATTTGTCAATCATTATAAGAAATCTGGATGGAACAAACAAACATGCTGAGTTTACAAAGCTTGTCAACTCTAAACTTGTTTCATGTTTAACTTTGCTTCTAAATGGTTTTCTTTAAACAGGTTTACCATATCAGACTGGGTTTGCTTAGGATACAAATGAAGAACAAACACATTGTGTACTTCCACAGGTAATTTTTAAATTGCTTTCAAAAATTTTAGCTAAGCTCATGACACATACCCATGTCATCTACTGTGCAAAGCAAATATGTCTGTACTCCAATCAGCGACACCTGCATTTGTGTCACTTCTATCTTGTCATCTTCCCAGGTTGTAACTGTCTGTTGTGTCATTGCATCAACTGCAGCTAGACCATTAGGGAGACCAATAAAAATGTACCGTCCATCTATACTGTCACTGAGACAAGTGGCTTGGCCAAATGGCTGAAATCGTAGGTAATTACAGCATTATTTATTGTGTCTATATATAACTCAAATTTGAGAAAAAAAATCCATGAAGTTTTATAGTAGACTGTACAGTCTGTGCCAGTACATGATCATCCCAATTTGTTGGGGAAAAAAGCTCATACAATTTACAATCATTAATGTTGTAATGAAAAATACTGACATAAAAAGGCCATGCACATTTTCATAATACCAAGTACTTACTCATGTCTCTTGAAAATGCTAAATCCCTTTTAATCAACATTAATGGTTTTTTCAACACAATTTCTTTGAGTTTACCTGCATTTGAATTGCACATTCATATTTTGGGGGTTTAATCCGAGATGCCTCTGCGATCCTAGCATTTTCCCTTTCAGATATAATCTCCCATATATCATCAAAAAGGTTATAGATGATCTTATTTATCATTCTATAAGGCTGAGGCAATAAATCACGTATCTGATCAGGATCTGTCAGGTAATCATCTTCATCATCTGACATTCGGCTGAGAATAGACGGTGGAGAAATCACCATCGTTTTACGAATATACACAGGCATTCTTGCAAATATACTGCAGTCAAATATACAAAATTGAAAAGTTATCTGATGTACATGCGTCACAATTTACAAATCCTTCACATCCCTTCAAAATACTAAATTTGTCTTAAACTTCTCTATTTCTTGCAGTGGGTATCCATGTCCGCCATATTGACAACAAATGTCAGAGCGAGGCTGGGTCAGTGCGCCCTCTAACGCGTGGTTGCAATATTTACCAAGCCGATGGAAAGGCACAAACACGAGGAAGACTTCCTGTGTCATATAGTAAAATTTAACACACAGACAGCCGGAAGAGACAAATTATGCAGGTACCATGATTAAAGTTACAAGTTTGTTTGTTAAAACACCTGCATATATTAGTAGTTTATTTTGACTATACTATACACGTTACATGCAGTGTGTTGTTCACAGGTCGAAATATTGGGACATTATGAATTTCTACAGTACATTGTACATGATAATAGCGACACATATTAACGAAGAAACATTCTGATGAACAGTCTGCAGATTTCCGCCTATTAATGACAAGAATATAACTATTTTGAAAATCTTCATATTCTTTATGAGTTCAGGGGGAGGTGTAGTTAGAATAATCTGGTTATAACTCTTATTATATTTTTACGTATAGTGACAGTATGTTCACAGGTACATGCATCTACAAAGGTATGATGATGAGCTCGGCAATCATAATTTTTTGGGAAAGGGAATTTTTTAGCTGCTGTACTCGCTAAACATTGTATGTAAAAAAACAAACAAACAAACAACACCGTTTACAGAGTTTCTGCTTGTTTACCAACATCAAATTTGTCTGGCCTTACCATGCGCTCTTTAATTAACTTACCCCCCCCCCCTTTCTGTTAATTCTTACATTATTTTCATTGCAGACTTTTTCAGTACACCAGCAAATTTGCACAGTGGTATGTTCTTCAAAAACATTTAGATCCAGAGGTTGCTGCAAAATTGAAAAGACTAGAGAATGCTATAAGCATGACACGTAAAGGTGAGAGTTGATTTAATATCTAATGAACAGATTGATAGAGTAGCTTTGTATGTATTAAATTGTTTTATATGTAGATCTGATAATTACATATCTCAGTGGTGTCTGTATATGTATTGCCACCACCTGTCTGTCTGCATTGCCTGAGTAGAAGCTGGAGCTATGTACATTTCTTGTTACCACAATAACTGGAAAGCAATGGTCTGTTTACTTTATTTAGTTGATATATGTATATATAAGATTAGAAAGCATGCTATTGTTTATTATGCTAAATATGTTAATTCTTGGTATTTTGTATTTTAGTGCTTCGATTTGGCAAGAGTTTTGACCTGTTACACAGCAGTTTAAGCACAATACACATATCAGACACTGTGCTCCGTCTGACCATCACGCTAAGTCATATCAACCAAGCCCTGTACCTTTTAGTTGACCACATTGTGTGGGCTTCAAAGATAGGTCTCATAGAGACACAAAGGAAGTACTGGTCAAAATTGTCGGCGAGGTTTTGGCTTGTATCTCTTATCCTAAATCTTACCAGAAATATCTATGATATCTCCAATTTAGTTCAAGAAGAACAGAAACATTTACACCAGTGGGATAAAAGGAGCCAATACAAGAATGGTATTGGAGGCTACAAGGACATTGAGAGAAAAACACCAACTAGCATGGAAATCTTCCAGAAGTGCTTGAGAGAAAACCACCCAGTTGCTATAGACACTGCAAAAAATTTTTGTGATCTCCTCCTTCCTTTATCAAGTTTGGGTTTTGTAAAGACTTCAAAAGGTCTTCAGGGAATTCTTGGGATGATTTCTTCCTATTTAAGTATTCTGACTATTTGGAACCCTGATCTAAAACTTCAAAATCCATGAGCTACATTTACCATATAAATTCAAAGAACTGGCATATGATTCATGGTCTGGGATATGGAAGTAGATTTCAATTTTAATACTGTTAATATACCCAAGTTTTCTTTCTTTTTTATACCACCAAAATTGTTATGCAATCACCGGAAACTACCTCAGCATTGTGGCTATTGCAATAAATGTATATTCATTGATTCTAAATAAGTGTCTTGAATTAGTTTTTCCAAGATGTGATGTTACGTAATCAAGAGTATATATTAAACACTTTTGAAATACCGATTTAGGCATTCCTTATATTCATGTGATAAAAATGTTATTTTTTAAAAAAAGCATTGTATAAGACCATGCCAGTTTGGGATCAAACCTTTCATTCATGTTAGTTTGAAGTTGTTTGTTAATGCTTATTATTTTGAATTAAGTGTAATCAGGTCTTGTGTTTGAACATACAATTAGCAGGTGATTCACTATTCAATTAATGATGGAATAATAAATAAATCGGATTTAGGAATTTTTCTGCATAAGGTTTTATAAATAATACTTACAAATGCCATGATATTACTTGTTTGGATTCTTTAATTCTTGAAAACTGTTAAAAGACTACCTACATTTGGGATATAGCCTTTTTCCACGTTCTTTATATAAAATACTTATGTAAATATTACTGCAATAAAAATAAACACTTTTTAAGTAAAAAAGTTATTTTCTTTTCATCCATACCCCCATTCACAAAGTAATGTAATGGATTAAATCCCAAAAGCACACAAATTCAATAAGCTTGGGGTGTCACAAGCTAATGAAAGGAATCCGTGTTGTGGTCACTATATGATTTAACAAGATTTTGACATTGCGTGATGACTACACTGCATTCTTGTACCACATTAAAATGATTATAAGTTTTCAAAATAAATGATAAGTTCTACAAATCATTTAATATGTGAGACATTTTAAGGTAATTACTGTTATATTATATTGATTTTTTAAACTGATAAAAAAAACTTTAAACTCCTGTACCAGTAACTTTAACACAAGTGCATCTCTGTCCTTAGGATGAGAATAAATATTATAAAGAATAGTAAGATTCAAAATGATGTGAGATATTTCCACTTTCTCTAATGCCTTATTCTCAAACAAGCAACGTCCAACTGTAGTGTTATGTCACAGCATTCATTGTCACAAAAAATAGGTATCCAGGCAAGTTTTGAGAAAAATAGTAAATCCACCATGAATCACCACTGTATAAATCCGAATGTTTCAATCAAATAAAAAATCAATTTGAAACATGATGACATTATTTTTTACTTTATGAAACGTTTAAAACGTTTCATCTCAGCACGCTGCTGTGCTTTGGCATATTTTCTTACTCTATACCAATATATATCGGAATCTTCATCCAGGCCTTCAAGAGAAGCTGTAGGTCTTTCAGTGTTCAGTTTCCAGAGCCATTCTGGATATTCATGATCCTCTTTAAGTTTTACTTCAGGGCCTTCTTTCATGTAATTCAATCCACTACAATTCATTATCAATTTCTTAACATCTCCTTCCACTGGCAAATCAATTTTTTTCTTTGGACCCCCTGAAATATTAATGTAGACATGAAATTTGTATATATAAAAAAGCACAGTCCTAGCACATAAAATAACTAAGTGGCAAAGCTGTCAAATGTATATACACCAAACCGCAAAAACAAACAAACAACCAAAAAAAAACAAAAAAACATTGCAGCAAAATTTATTAAAAAAGTGAAAACATAAGGCCAAATACAGAGGCAAAGGCAAGGTTGGAAGCCAAGTAACTATATATAAATAAATAAATGTAGGGGTCAGTGGATGAGTTAGCTATATATATATAGCTATTGATCGTGTGAAAGTTTTAAGGGCAAACTTTTTTTTTTTTTAATTTGGCAAAGTGCAGCAAGGGGAAATATATACTATGTAGAAGAACAAGCAAAGTTGATCTGTGGACTAAAAGATCTATCAGATCAGGGAATTTATACAGTGTCTATTAGGGCATTATGTGGCAACCTTTCAAGTGGGTCAGCCAAAGCTGATCTGCGGATCTGTTAGTCTGTGGATCAACTTGTTCTGAATACACTCAAATGTTTTTAACTAGCATGTCAGACTTTTAGGGAAATTTGGACAATTTTTTTTTTTTTTTTTTTTGGGGGGTGGGGGGGGATTTTTTGTCCATCGTCTTCTTGTTCCCCATGAAGCAAATGTTAAAAGGGCACCCCTAAACTGAAAAAAACATGTGGCATCAATTTGTATTTTTTGCACCTGTGGACCAAAATTCTATTACTTTGCCTACTTCACAAACACCCCATTTCCATAGATTAGATCGACCTACTTTAGATCGACCTAACTCCCTGGGGGTTCACGCTAAATAGCTGTCAGCCGGGCGGACACAGAAGTTAATTACCCTCTTACAGCTTGTAGTAGGCGGGACGGACATTTAAGTCGGATTATCTGAAAGTAATCTAGTGAGACTCCCCGCGGGGATAGATCGATCTAAAATCTATGGGAATAGAGCCAAAGATTACTCTGCTTGGGAAAGACTTATAATCAAAATTTAAATTGGGTGTCCATGCGTAGCTCCTTTACTTTTAATGTGGTAAAGTGCACTTTTTATGACATTATTAAGGGTTTCAAATCAAGTGGAGAAACTTTTGACTCATTTTTTAAAGTGGCGTCTGAAAACAATGACAAACATGTTGTCACTAAAACTCGAATAACTTTTGATCCAAATGAAATACATTAAAAAATTAAAAAGTTTACACATACTCAAATATGTGGCTATCTGTGTACCAAATTTCAAGTCTATAAAAATAGCTCAATAAGAAAAAAGTGCGTGCACCCTAGCTAGGGCGCATGTTGATGACATCCCTAATGTACCTGATCCTTTCACTCCTATCTTGCCGCCAATTTTACCAAGTCCCTTAACTGCATAGCTGCGTAGAGGTATTAAAACTTCGTGAGTGTATTGTGGTATAAATCTTGCAATATTTTGCAAAGTACAAGAACACCTCAAGACGATGGCCATTTGCGACAAGCCTCGTTTTGAAAATAAAAATGGATGCGCCCAGTGAATCACACTGTTCCCGCACGACTCCTGAAGATATTCACGGGACAGACAAACAGACGCCCCAACGTGCCTCTCGGTATGTTCTGATGGATAATGATGCCACTGCAAAAGACCAAACACTAAGTGAATATCTAAAGTGCACAAGTGAATTCCGCTAGTCCAAGTCGATGTTGTGTCCTAAGGCCGGGGTACGCCTTAGATAGTTATATCAGAAAAAAATTTCAAAATGATCAGAAAATTATAATACTTACATCTTTTGAAAGGTAATACAAGAAACAGATGAATTCTTTTAGAATTTTTATAATATTCCTACAAGCAACAAAGATATTGAATTTTTTAACTGCTATATTTCACCAAATGTGTCCACAGTTTTCAGCTAAAAACCTGTGACTGACCAGCAGTGATCACTAAACTGCAGCAGAACAGCCTGTGAATGGGCCTTTGGCCCAAATTGCTTGTGACCAATTAAGACAAATTAGGGCTCTATTAGTCCAGGAATTTGGTGAAAAATTGTGCATTTTTTACCTACAAGCATGAAATTTGGCACACTTTTTGACAGTGAAATTCTAAGCAAATTTGGATATATGGGCATGTCTGAAAATTCCAAAATGGCCGTCAAATCCAAGATGACTGCCAAAATATGTTAATCTAATGACCTGGAAACAAAACCAAAATGGCGACCGCACAAGCACATGGCTGAGATGGCTTCTGTGCAGATCATGTACTATAAATATTGTGCATCAAATTAACTATACTTCACATCATTCAATTTTCACATTTTTTTTTCAATTAGATTGCAAATTTCCCGAAGTTTAAAGGGTATAAGTTACAAAAAAAAAATGCATGCAGTCCTTACCTAGAATTTTTAAACATTTCGTCGAGCCAAAACTTCAAAACATTGCCAAATCGATGTTCTCAAAGATAGCAACATGGGAAGGTAAGGTAACCGGAATTAAGCCTTTGACTGCCAGCTTAGTTAGTAAATGGATTGTATTGGTTTATTTATACAGGGCTAAAAAAAGATNTTTTATTTAGTTGATATATGTTTATATAAGATTAGAAAGCATGCTATTGTTTATTATGCTAAATATGTTAATTCTTGGTATTTTGTATTTTAGTGCTTCGATTTGGCAAGAGTTTTGACCTGTTACACAGCAGTTTAAGCACAATACACATATCAGACACTGTGCTCCGTCTGACCATCACACTAAGTCATATCAACCAAGCCCTGTACCTTTTAGTTGACCACATTGTGTGGGCTTCAAAGATAGGTCTCATAGAGACACAAAGGAAGTACTGGTCAAAATTGTCGGCGAGGTTTTGGCTTGTATCTCTTATCCTAAATCTTACCAGAAATATCTATGATATCTCCAATTTAGTTCAAGAAGAACAGAAACATTTACACCAGTGGGATAAAAGGAGCCAATACAAGAATGGTATTGGAGGATACAAGGACATTGAGAGAAAAACACCAACTAGCATGGAAATCTTCCAGAAGTGCTTGAGAGAAAACCACCCAGTTGCTATAGACACTGCAAAAAATTTTTGTGATCTCCTCCTTCCTTTATCAAGTTTGGGTTTTGTAAAGACTTCAAAAGGTCTTCAGGGAATTCTTGGGATGATTTCTTCCTATTTAAGTATTCTAACTATTTGGAACCCTGATCTAAAACTTCAAAATCCATGAGCTAAATTTACCATATAAATTCAAAGAACTGGCATATGATACATGGTCTGGGATATGGAAGTAGATTTCAATTTTAATACTGTTAATATACGCAAGTTTTCTTTCTTTTTTATACCACCAAAATTGTTATGAAATCACCGGAAACTACCTCAGCATTGTGGCTATTGCAATAAATGTATATTCATTAATTCTAAATAAGTGTCTTGAATTAGTTTTTCCAAGATGTGATGTTACGTAATCAAGAGTATATATTAAACACTTTTGAAATACCGATTTAGGCATTTCTTATATTCATGTGATAAAAATGTTATTTTTTAAAAAAAGTATTGTATAAGGCCATGCCATTTTGGGATCAAACCTTTCATTCATGTTAGTTTGAAGTTGTTTGTTAATGCTTATTATTTTGAATTAAGTGTAATCAGGTCTTGTGTTTGAACATACAATTAGCAGGTGATTCACTATTCAATTAATGATGGAATAATAAATAAATCAGATTTAGGAATTTTTCTGAATAAGGTTTTATAAATAATACTTACAAATGCCATGATGTTACTTGTTTGGATTCTTTAATTCTTGAAAACTGTTAAAAGACTACCTACATTTGAGATATAGCCTTTTTCCACGTTCTTTATATAAAATACTTATGTAAATATTACTGCAATAAAAATAAACACTTTTTAAGTAAAAAAGTCATTTTCTTTTCATCCATACCCCCATTCACAAAGTAATGTAATGGATTAAATCCCAAAAGCACACAAATTCAATAAGCTTGGGGTGTCACAAGCTAATGAAAGGAATCCGTGTTGTGGTCACCATATTATTTAACAAGATTTTGATATTGCTTGATGACTACACTGCATTCTTGTACCACATAAAAATGATTATAAGTTTTCAAAACAAATGATAAGTTCTACGAATCATCTAATATGTGAGACATTTTAAGGTAATTACTGTTATATTATACTGATTTTTTAAACTGATAAAAAAAACTTTAAACTCCTGTACCAGTAACTTTAACACAAGTGCATCTCTGTCCTTAGGATGAGAATAAATATTATAAAGAATAGTAAGATTCAAAATGATGTGAGATATTTCCACTTTCTCTAATGCCTCTTTCTCAAACGAGCAACGTCCAACTGTAGTGTTATGTCACAGCATTCATTGTCACAAAAAATAGGTATCCAGGCAAGTATAGAGAAAATAGTAAATCCACCATGAATCACCACTGTATAAATCCTAATGTTTCAATCAAATAAAAAATCAATTTGAAACATGATGACATTATTTTTTACTTTATGAAACGTTTAAAACGTTTCATCTCAGCTCGCTGCTGTGCTTTGGCATATTTTCTTACTCTATACCAATATATATCGGAATCTTCATCCAGGCCTTCAAGAGAAGCTGTAGGTCTTTCAGTGTTCAGTTTCCAGAGCCATTCTGGATATTCATGATCCTCTTTAAGTTTTACTTCAGGGCCTTCTTTCATGTAATTCAATCCACTACAATTCATTATCAATTTCTTAACATCTCCTTCCACTGGCAAATCAATTTTTTTCTTTGGACCCCCTGAAATATTAATGTAGACATGAAATTTGTATATATACAAAAGCACAGTCCTGGCACATAAAATAACTAAGTGGCAAAGCTGTCAAATATATATACACCAAACAGCAAAAACAAAAAAAAAAAAAAAAAAAAAAAAAAAAAAAAACATTGCAGCAAAATTTATTAAAAAAGTGAAAACATAAGGCCAAATACAGAGGCAAAGGTAAGGTTGGAAGCCAAGTAACTATACATAAATAAATAAATAAATGTAGGGGTCAGTGAATGAGTAAGCTAGCTATTGATCGTGTGAAAGTTTTAAGGGCAAACTTTTTTTTTTAATTTGGCAAAGTGCAGCAAGGGGAAATATATACTATGTAGAAGAACAAGCAAAGTTGATCTGTGGACTAAAAGATCTATCAGATCAGGGAATCTATACAGTGTCTATTAGGGCATTAGGTGGCAACCTTTCAAGTGGCTCTGTTAGTCTGTGGATCAACTTGTTCTGAATGCACTCAAATGTTTTTTTTTTTTTTTTTTTTTTTTTTTTTGGGGGGGGGGGGGGGGGGTTTTCCTCCTCTTTTTTTTCCCCATGAAGCAAAATTTTAAAAGGGCCCCCCCAAATGAAAAAAAAAAATGGCATCAATTTTTTTTTCCCCTTTTTTTTT